TTCATCACCTTGAATATTTCTTGCCATTCCCATCTGGCCTGCATGGTTTCTGTTGAGAAATTAGCTGACAATCGTATAGGTGCTCCTTTATAAGTAACTCCCTTCTTTGCTCTTGCTGCTTTTAATATTCTTTCTTTGTCTTTTGCTCTTGGAATTTTTTTTTTTTTTAAATATATTTTATTGATTTTGTACAGAGAGGAAGGGAGAGAGATAGAGGGTTAGAAACATCCATGAGAGAGAGTCATCGATCAGCTGCCTCTTGCACACCCCCTACTGGGGATATGCCCGCAACCAAGGTACATGCCCTTGACCGGAATCGAACCCGGGACCTTTCAGTCCCCAAGCCGACGCTCTATCCATTGAGCCAAACCGGTCCCGGCTGCTCTTGGAATTTTAATTATGATTTGTCTTGGTGTGGTCCTCTTTGGATTCCTTTTGTTTGGAGTTCTGTGCACTTCCTGGACTTGTAAATCTAATTATTTCACCAGGTGGGGGAAGTTTTCTGTCACTATTTCTTTCAGTATGCTTTCGATATCTTGCTCTCTCTCATCTTCTGGGACTCCCATAATTCTGATGTTGGTTCGCTTGAAGTTGTCCCAGAGATTTCTTACATTATCTTCAATTTTCTGGATTCTCTTGCCTTCTAGCTTCTGTGGAGGAGTGTCTTCTGGCTCTTTATGTTCCAAATCTTTGACTTGATTCTTGCGATCTTCCATTCTGTTTTTAGGACTCTGTATAATATTTTTTATTTCAGACAATGTATTCTTTATTTCTTGTTGATCCCTTATCATTTCTTTTGATCCCTTATCATTTCTTGTTGATTCCTTATTAATTCTAGTTGACCTCTTTTCATATCTTCATAGGTCTTATCGATCTTTTCTAGGAAATTCTTGAAAAACCTTATAAGCGTAGATTTGAACTCTGTATCCAGCTGCTTTTTGTCCTCCATTTCTTTCATTTGTAATCTATGTTGTTGTCACATTTCGCAGCTACAGGTGGGGCGAGGTTTCAGGGTGGAGCCTACAGCCTTGGCTTCCATCAGCCCGGCCCTATGCAGCTCCTGGGTCTCAGGGTCCTTCTGTACTTGCTGCAAGGGCCTCTGAGAGAAAGGTGCCCTCAATTTTCGCCTGCTACCAAACAGTCTAGGCTTTCCCCCAACGAGCCCGGTATTGGGGTTCAGTTCAGTTGGAAGTGGAGTTGGAGGTGGCGTTCAGAGCAGACTGACGCCCCTGTCTCCTTCTGGCCAGGGCAATCCCGCGGCACAGCCAACCGTCCTTTCTCTGCACGCAATGTGCGCGCCTCCGGGACCTCCTTTCGCCGCTCCCCCGGGGTTCCGCCTTACAGCCTGGCTTCCTCTGGATGAGCCTGGGCCCCTGGGGTCTGGCCTAGAACTGGGGTTCAGAGCAGTCAGAACTGGGGCCCAACACAGTCGGAGCTTTTATCTCCTTCCCGCTAGGGAACACCAGCCAGGCTCTCAGCCGCCCTCCTCTCCGCTCCGTCCTCTCCGCGCGCCGCGTGTCTCCGTACCTTTGGCTTTTACAGCTCCTCCTCGCTTCCTTCTGGTTGTCTCCTTGCTTCTCGTTGTAGAATTTCCAGTCAGTCGATTTTCCTGTAGTTCTGGATAATGTCCATTTTACATTTTAGTTGTGTTTTATTGAAATCATTGTGTGCGGCTGCGGCTAGGTGTTTACCTGGGCAGCCATCTTGGATTCTCCATAAGCAAACTCTTAATTCCACCTCCAAGATATAACCTACTCACCACACCTGGATTTCTACCACTTCCTCTCTGACTGTAGCCCCTACTACTTTCTCACCCCCTGCTCACATGCTTGAGGCTACAGCCACACCAGCCTCTATACCTCGGGCACATGGCCACCCTGGGCAAGGATTTGGCTCCATCTGCTCCCTCGGCCTGGACACTCAGCTTGAAGGTGTTTCAGCAAAATCTCTCAGCAGCTTCATCTTTCCTCAAATCCCATTGCTTCAATGAGGCTTCCTCTGACCACCCTGGAAATCAAACCTTCCCCATGTGCCCAATTCCTCCTAATCCCCCATTTCTCACTTGCTAATAAACATACTGTTTTTTCACGTGCACCGTGTCTCATCTGAGTGTAAATGCCATGAGGGCATTAGTCTTTGTTGTTCACTGGCAGGACCAGCACACAGCAGATGCTCACTGAGTCTGTGTTGAACGAGTGATGAACCTTTATTCTCTCATTCGCACAACGAGCCTAACAGGACCCGCCCTGTGCTGTGCGGTGAGGATTACACATCTTTCCCTGACTGGGTGCTACCGGGTTGCTAAGTGAAATAAGCCAGCCAGTGAGGGAAACACGAGTACCATCTGATCCCATTTATATGGGGAACCTAATGAACAAAACGAATTAACACAACAGAGACAGACTCATAGACACAGAGAAAAGACCGACAGCTGTTCTCAGGCACAAACAACAATATGGTTACCGGAGGGAAAGAGGTGGAGGGGTAGGTAAGAGTGAAGGGGGGTAAGCGGTGATGGAAGGAGACTTGGAGTGGTGAAGTACAAAATAAAGGTACCCGTCACTCACCTTACAAACACCCAGAATCCACCTTATATCACCTCCTCCAGGAAGCCTTCCTTGACCCCCACTACACAGTCAGGTGCTGCCCCAGCGCCCCCACACCATCTGTCTACAGTCTGGCCATTCTGGATCTCATTCATTTCCGTGTCCCCAGAAATTCCATGGTTTGACAACATGATAGGACATGCCTGATCATCAGTGGAGAGGCCACAGGACTCAACGAGTGGGTACTGCTGCGTCCAGGGGCCAGTAGGCCACACCATGCCCAGTATCTACATCGCAAGAATGACAAGAATCCTCACTGGCCAATTTCCGTATTGTCACAGCCTCCACGGCCACAGTGGCAGTGGGGAAGCAGAGGCAGGTGATGGGAGAGTGTGTGGAACCTGGAAGTGGGAGTCCCAGTACCTGTGACACGGGGACGCAGGATATCCTAAGGGTGAGGACAGGCAAGGGCATGTATATTCCCAATCCGGGAGCTGCCCCCTTGTGGGGGACTCCTGACAGGCACCGGGGGCTCTGTCTTCTGTCTGTAACCTCTCCTCTCAGAGGGCGAGCACCACGCTGAGCGTCCACCTTGTGACAAGTCCTCAGGACAGCCTCCCCGTCTCCTCAGGAGCAGGAAGTCGCCAGGACCTCCTCCCAGGTATTGACTTACAGAGGCCAGACTCTGGTCCCCGAAAAAGCTGAGACAAAGGCCGGGTTTGTAAGAAATCTGATTATTCAAATTTATTTACCATCAAGATTTTATGCAATGATGCTGTAGTTTTCTTAACAAATAGAAAACAGACTGTGTACAACAGTGAACTCTACAGCACTAGCATCCACAAGGTAAAAATGAATGTCGCGTCCAACATTACCACCCCTGGATTGTTGATCTTGACCGAGCCTAGCTAGATCTCGGGACGTCTGCGTCCCGTCCCTCGGCTACAACAGCTATGCACCCTTCCCCGCCCCCACTTACCTACCTAGATAGTGCTGCCCAGAGGAAGAGGCCCTCTCCCTGCCCCTCAGCAAGCCACGGTTATAAGGATTATAGTACCATTGAGAAAAGTCCAGTAGTCTTGCCACATTGGTTTCTGAGGGCATCGTGAAGGAGTGGAAACGAGCAATGCTCACGGGCTTTGAAAATAGCTGCAAACCAGGGAGGAAAACCATCGGCCCCTTTCTGAGAACAGACATGTGCTGCCAGGCCTTCCGGCCTGGACCGGAAGGGCCAGCTGTGCCCCTGCTTGGCCCTGAGGTGTGCAGGGTGTGGCACACACACCCTGACCTGTGCCAGCTGCTTCGGCCACACGGCCAGACCCACAGCCTCCCACCACCGCACCGCACCGCACCCCGCGGTGCTGGGGACCCACGCACGCATGCCAGCCTCCGCGGGCCCCGAGGTCAGCCTGGCAGCTCACAGGGAGCCCCAGGGGCACCGAGCCGCCTCCCCTCTCAGAGGTCTGAAGCAGAGGCCAGGAAATGACTCTCTTTATTTCCTTGTTTTTTTTTTTTTTTTCCTTTTTCCTTGTTTTTTTTGATTTTTTTGGATTGTTGTTTTTGTTTTTTGTTGTTGCTTTTTTTAACCTTTGCAAACACGATGGTGATGAGGAACGCCTTGCCAGGCTCCCCCCGGACGCGTCTGGGGTTCCGGGCTGTGAACGTCGCGCACACACACTGGAGTCGATGACGGGGCTGAGTGTTTCCTATCCCTTCCTCGCCCACCACGGTCTGTGGGGCCTAACATAAGGCTTGTAAGGAGAAACAAAGCTTAAAAAAAAAGAAAAAAAGAAAAAAAAAGTGTTCCCTGCATTTGGCTGAAACAAGATCTTGTCTGAAGGCCTGGAAGAGCCGCGGAGCAGCGAGGCCCCCCGCGCAGGCTGGCGGCCCCGGCTCCACACGCGTGAAGAAGGCATGATCGTCCTTCAGCGGTAAAAAGTTACACAAGAAAGGATCCACGTAACTCAAAACAGGAAGTAGACGACACCCCAACCCCCCATGGCAGCCCAATTCTGCAGTTAAGGATTCGCAAAAGGAAACATCAGAGAGAGAAGAGGCCAGAACCCCTCAGTCTGCTCCACTCACTGCACAAAAAGAGGCTGTGTCCCGTCCCCACCCCGTGAGAAGAAGCGTGAGAGATGCGACAGCGGAGCAGAGTTTGGCGTGGGCTCCGGGCGGGCCTGGGGGACAGAGTGGCTGCTGCGTCCGCCCGCTGCCTGCCTGCCCGCCCGCCTGCCCGCCCGCCTGCCGGCCGGCCGGCCGGCCCGCCCCATGGCCGGGGGCTCCGGGCTCTCTGTTTGGTGTGGGAATGTTCCTGAAACGCTGTGATCCCAGGGGCTGTGCTCCGTCGGCAGCGGCGTCCGTGCAGGAGGCTGGATGATGGTCGGTATGGCTCAGAGGAGCTGGTCCCCTCCGGAGCCCCAGGCAGGGGCGGCGAAGGAGAGGGGGCGGTAGTTACGTTGCATAGTGGTCAAAGCTGCCGAGGTACTCCAAGGCTGCACGGTAGCACAGCTGGTACTGGTCCTGCCGGGACAGGGGGCGGTGAGCATGGGCAGTGCCAGTGGGTTTCCCCAACACACTGCCAAGGGCACTCCCGCTGCAGCCGGTGGGCCTGAAAGAATCCCTGGAAGCCCCTCTCTCGCTCCCTTTCCCACCGCCCACATCCACCGACTGTGCCCGAGTCTACCCTGCAGGGACGACTATGTCCGACCCTCGCCAGAGCCGTGGACGCCACTGGAGCCTGGTGCAGAGCTGCCGGAGGAGGAGCTGGTTCTGCGGTGGGGTTGTGCTCCCACAGGTGTCCCGCCCTAGAGTCCCAGCAGAGCTCGCCGTGGCCAGTGCCGGCGGGGTGCCCACGCCCCGGCCCACATACCTCCGTCTGCACCATGGCTGGGCGCTGTGTGCGCAGGGTCTTCACGGTCTGGAACATGTCCACCACGCCCTCGTAGCGCATGCGCTCCAGGACGATGCTCAGCGTGATGAACACCCCGGTGCGGCCCACGCCGGCACTGCTCGGGGACAGCGCCGGGTCAGGGTTGCCCCAGGCCCCCGCCCGGCCCCCCCCCCCAGCCCCCGCCCGGCCCCCCGGGGGCGAGGCCCACCTGCAGTGCACCGTGATGGGCCCGTCCTGCCCGAACTGCTCCTTGGTCTTGTGCACCTGCCCGATGAAGTCGATGAAGCCCTCCCCGGTCTTGGGCACGCCCTGCTCCGGCCAGTCTGTGAACTGGAACTGCCGGATGGTCCGCGACTGCCCGTCCTGGGAGGAGGCGGGCGGGGGACGGGGTTGTTAGTGCCTCGGGCTGCGGCCCCACCAGACCAGGAGGGGAGCGTGAGGACACAGGTAAGCAAGCGTCCTGGGGGCCAGGGCACCACGCAGGCGGTCCCCACCCCACGCTCCCCTGCCCAGACTCACCCGGGCGTCCGTGACCTTGAACTCTCGCAGGATGTACTGCGGCATGTTGTACTCGGCCATCGGGTCAACGACGAAGTACTGGTAGCGAGCAGAGCGCTCTGCCGGCCAGTACTGGTGGCACTTCTCCTGTGGACAAAGGCCCGCCGCCATGATCGGGGGCAGGGGGGAGGAGGAAGGGAGCGGGCCCCCAGGATCAGAGGATTTGAGGCAGGACCCCTGAGGTGGTGATAACTGAGCGGGGGAGCGAGGAGAGGAGGGGAGGGAGAGATCAGAGGTTATGGTGACAGGAGGCTGGGCATGAGAGGAGAGGAGAGCGAGGGAGTGGCTGGTGTGCCCCCAGGTATCAGAAGGGCCCTGGGGGGTGGGCTCACCCTGCCCATCTCCCGGAGCCGGGTCAGCATGACGATGATGGTGGAGTTGTGCTCCCACAGCATGCGCCAGAAGTCCTCGGTGCTCTCTGCCAGAGGCCCCTGCGTGGCTATGTAGGCCTTTTGCTGCCTGGGGTGGACATAAGACCGGACATGCTGGAGGTGCTGTGCTCCCCGCGTCCCCACAAGACTGCAGAGTCTCTCGGGGCCCCGCTCAGATCGCCCCTCCTCCGGGAAGCCCACGCTGACCTCCTGGGCTGGCCCTACTCTGTGGTCCCCTCGGCCAGCCAGCCCGCCCGCCCGCCAGCCGGGCCCAGGCCCCCGTAGAGCGTGCTGGGCAGACACACGCCGGCTCACCGATAGCCGTCCAGGAAGCTGGCGTTGATGTAGTCGGAGCCCTCCACGCCCCGGATGGGCTGCAGGCACACTCGGGTCAGCTCGTAGGGCATGATGTTCACCAGGCGGTTCTTGAACTTGTTGCAGGGCAGGTTGGCGCTGATGAAGCGGGACGTGTGGGCCTTGGAGCTGGCCAGCAGCTAGCGAGAGGGAGGGACGGGTCGGGCCTGGCTCCCGGAGGGGGACGGGCACGCACCCCCAGGACCCGGCCCAGGCCCGGCCCTCGGCCCACACCTTGAACTCGAGCTCCATGGCGGTCACGCTCTCCCCGGGAGGCACCTGGCCCAGCTTCTGGATGTGGGCGTAGAGGCTGCGGGCCGGCACCTCCGTGTGCCCGCACGTGGCGGCCTCCAGCAGCGCCTCGTGGATGAACACGTACTGGTCCTCCGTCTGCACCATGTAGTTGCGCTGGGACCGCATGCAGGTCACGTGGCCGTAGATGTCCACCGTCTTCTCGTGCTTCATGCGCTCCAGCATGGCGTCGATCACGATGAAGCAGCCCGTGCGGCCCACCCCGGCGCTGCAGGACAGGGCGCGGCGTGGGCACGGGTCCATCCCGGTCCGCCCCGGCCCGCCCCGCCCCGCCCCGGCCGCCCCGGGGGTGCCGCCCCCCTCCCCACCCTCACCTGCAGTGCACCACCATGGGCCCCGCGTCCAGCGGGTTGCAGGCCTTGACGCGCCGCAGGAAGGCCAGGATGGGGGTGGGGTACTCGGGGACGCCGTGGTCCGGCCAGGCCATGAACTGGAACTGGCGCAGCTCCCGCTTCTCACTGGAGCCGCTCTGGGGGGAAGGGCGGGCGGGGGGGGGGGGGGGGGAGGAGACTGGGATGAGGCGGCCGCCTGCCCGGGCTCAGGGTGGGGGGACGCAGTGCTGGCCGTCACGGTGCACCCCCGCGTGTCCGAGCCGACGCCCGAGCCCCGACCTCCGACTCAGGGTCCCCGCCCGCCCGCCCACCCGCCCAGCATGCAGCGCTCCGGGAAGCGCGGGGATGAGCACACCTTGTGGAGCGCGAAGGTGCGCACGGTGTAGGTGGCCAGCTCCACGGTGTCCAGCAGCGTCACCTGGATGAGGCCGTAGGTCTCGGTGCCGCGGAGCGGCCAGTACTGGTCACACTTCACCTGCAGCGGGACAAGCAAGGCGGGCGCCAGGGTGTTTGGAAGCGCCCGCAGGCTCGAGGGGTGGGGGAGGGGGGCGGGGGCCCTGGGGCAGAAGCGGAGGGGTGGGGAGGATAGAAGGCTCCCCGCCCAAGCTCTCAGAGCTACAGTGCCACCCCCTCCCACCCCAAGACTATAGGGGGCCCCACCGCAGGTTCTCACACGACGTCGCCAGCCCTGTCCTGGCCGGGGGAGCGAGGGCCGTAATTGAAATTTATTTATTCATGACCAGATCGCACAGGCACATTTTCTGCCAAATTTGCCCGTAATGTTTATGTGCCACTTTCAAGCTCTGTAAATTTTACGTTCCAGCCAGTGCTTCGCGGTGCAAAAGCAGATAACAGTGGCGCTTTCCACTAATTAGCTTTGGAGATGTGTTCATGCCCCGGGAACATCCAGCATCTGGGGGACACGGGGACACCCCGGGAACATACACACGTTCCCAGGAAATGTAGCATCTGGTGCGATGTAGTAACATCCCAGGAGCCCACTGGTGTCTGGGGACCACGGTCATATCCCGGGAAAACAACAGCACTTGGGAATTCCCCCGGGGAACTTCGTCCGTCCCACAGGGACACAGACACGGTGCTCGCATCATCTGGTGGCCGAGTCCCACCCCCGCTCCGGGCACAGCCCCGCCCGGCCCTACCCGGGACTTCTCCTCCAGCCGCGTCATCATGACCACGGTGGCCGTGCGCTGCTCCCACACCATCCGCCAGAAGTCGCCCATGGTCTCGGGCAGGGGGCCCTGCGTGGCGATGTAGGCGTTCTGCTTGCGGTAGCCGTCGATGTAGTTGGCGTTGATGTAGTCGCTGCCTGGGACGCCTGTGGGAAGGGACGTGGGAGAGCATTGTCCTAGGGTCCCCCGTCCCCACCCACCACACCTCGGTGCACCCCGGGACGTGGGGGCCTTTCCTGCAGAAGGAACGATCGCACCAGCGCCAGTGAGGAGGAGAGCAGGGGAGGGGGAGGGCTCGCCCCGGCTCACCGTCGATGGAGGTCAGGATGACGCGGGAGTGGTCGTAGGCGATGACATTCGCGTAGCGGTTCTTGGGCTTGTTTACCTCCAGGTTGGAGTTCTCCCAGGTGAACTGCTGTCCAGGGTCAATGGACTGCAGAGAAGGGAGGGGGCGGGTGGAGTGGGTAAGAGCCGAGGTCTCCCGACTGCCCCCAAGGGGGACTCGGCCTTCCAGGCGGTGCCCACATCCCATTTCACTCCTCGGCCGCGGCCAGCCCCTGTCCATGGTTCCCAGGAAGGGTGGGCTCCAGCTGCCCCAGCCGTGAAGTTCAGGGGCTGCCCTGTCACTTGTCAGGAAGGTAAAGAATCAAAGCCTCGCCAAAACCCGGTTTGGCTCAGTGGATAGAGCGTCGGCCTGTGGACTGAAAGGTCCCAGGTTTGATTCCGGTCAAAGGCATGTATGTTGGTTGTGGGCACATCCCTGGCAGAGGGTGTGCAGGAGGCAGCTGGTCGATGTTTCTCTCTCATCGATGTTTCTAGCTCTCTCTCTCTCTTCCTTCCTCTCTGTGGAAAATCAATAAAATATATTAAAAAAAAAGAAAAAAAAAAAAGAATCAAAAGCCTCTTGTGGCCACGGAACACAGCCCCTGGCCTGGAGAGCGACTGGGGCTGAGGGGAGGGCAGGGGAAGCTCCCTCAGGCCCCGCACCAACGAAGGAATTGAGCGTAGAACGAGAGGAAGCGAAGGCCGCCAGCCCCGGAGCACCTGCCACTGCCCCAGGCTCTGGCCGTCCACCACAAGGCCCTGCCTGGCTCTCCCACCTCTCTGGCTATTTTTCCCGCCTCCTCCCCTTCCACCTGCTTTTCCGTGGGCAGGACACAGGGCTCGTTCAGGGCTCCTGCCTCCCGGACCCTCCCTGACTGTACAGCCTTTCCTGAGTGACTTGGTCAGCTCGCAGGATCTTAGGCCCCCGACCCGGAGCCCTCGTCACCCTGCCTGCCGCGTGGAGCCTCCCCGGGGACCCCCATCTAAACAGCCAGCGGCCTCCTTCCTCTACAACACGGAGCGGATGACCAACTTCCTGCTCAGTGACGTCCACGGCTCCTCCTGGCCTCACCTCAGACGATGGTGGTAACAACAGCTCCGTCTCAGCGAGAACGGACTGCCTGCTTGGCGCTGATCTGAGCCCTTGGGAGTGTGTTCCCTCACCTCATCCTTCCACGAAGCCGGGGTGGGGACGGCTCACCTCATACTCCTGGGAGAACTTGAGGCCGTCGTTGGCCTTGAGGCGCTCGATGTTGTCCGCGAGGTCGGTGATGGGGATGGGCGGGTGGTCGCGCATACCTGGGGGCACACACGGGCCGGGTCAGCGGGAGGCCTGAGCGAGGCGGCAGAGACAGCTCCGACGTGTGTATGTGCACGTGTGAACGTGTGACCATGGAGCACTCGGCACTGGTGGCATGGAGACAGCGGCACATGCGGCGGCGACAGGATGGCAGAGCACACAGTGGCCGGAGGTGGGGAGGGGACAGACGGGGCGGGCGTGTGTGCGCCGTGAGCACGTGGGAGCATGTCCGTGTGGCGCGGCGCTGAGTGGGGGCATCAGGGCTCCACGTGGTGGGCTCTCAGGAGGGGTGAGAGGCCCCCTCCCTCCCAGGAGGGGGCGGTGGGCGTCTTCAGCCTGCACCCCCCCTCCCGCCCCCGTGGGCAGCCCTCCTGCCCCTCACTGGCGCGGGCCACCAGGGGAGACTCCGTGACATCATCGCCCCAGCATCAAGCATGTGGATGGCGTGATCACAAGGAACAGAGACATGGCCCGGTGACTCGGAAGGACACGGAGAGAGCAGCAGGGGGGAGGAGGAGGAGGACGAGGAGATGTAGAGACAGGGAGACAGGAAAGTGTCAGGTTGAGGCGGGAGGCCAGAGAGGCGGAGACTCAGAGAGGGGGCCGGTGGGAGGGAACACAAGACGGAAGGAAACAGACAGGGGAGGAGGAGGATGGAGAAGGGGAACGATGAGACAGCCGGAAGGGGAAAACAGAGAGGGAAGGAGAGAAGAAATCAAGGGAGAAGGGGAGGGAGGGGCGCGGTGACTGGGTGAGAAAAATAGAGGAAAGATACGGAAGCCAGAGGAGGCCCCAAACATGGGAACTTGGAAAACTAACTTGAGATATTCGGGCAACTGGGGGCACTGGAACCTGCAGAGAAAAAACAAACAAACAGCAGGGCAAGAGAAGAAAGCTGGTTAACCTTCTCTGGTCGTTCCCGTGGGGCACAGCGGAGGGCGGAGACATGTGCAGGGGCTCAGGGGGCTTGGGAGGGTGGGGGGAGGAGGAGGGGGGGGAAGAGGAGAGGAGGGAGAGGAGGACCAGGGCAGCAAAGCCAGTCCCGCACAGGCCTCCTGCCTCCAGAGGAACAGACAGACTTCCCACCCAGAGCTGAGCGCTGCTCTCAACTCCCGGGAGGCTGGGAAGCCTGTTTTTATGACTACATTCTTGGTCCAAATCAACCCCCGTCCCCTCTGGTAATAAAATTAGACCTCGGCTATTTTCAGAGGATCTGGCAAAAGCCAAGTGTGCTTTTATGCAGAGACGAGGCGCGTGTGGCGAGAAACAAAGGGCCCGTCTGCACGAGAACGTGCAGCTGCCGGTCCCTCTGGCAGCTTTTCTGCGGGGCTGAAAACATCTATTTTCAGAAGACACATTAAGTGATAAGAGAGAGGGGGAAAAAAAAAATGTTTACTGAATGAAAAAAACGGAGCCGTGGAGCGTGCGGCCGCTCCCCCTGCCCCCCCTGCCCCCCCGGCCCCCACTTCACTCTGCGCCGCCACCTCCAGCCTCAGCCTCAGTTCCTTGGCGCTCAGATTTTTGGTGACGCTTGCCATGCCCCTTCCCACTGCCTGACCCGGCCCCCACCTCCCGTCCCTCCGGCCCCCGCCTCCTGCACTTGGCCTTTCACTCCACTGCCTTTGACATCTCCTCTGCACCCCTCCTTTCCTCTCAGATCCCGACACTGCCCTCGGCCCCTGCAGCCACAGGAATGCAGGGCCCTGCGGCCGCTCAGCCCTCCTCCCCGGCGCGCACACACACGGCCTCGGCCTCTCTCACGGCCTGGCTCTGGCCACTGCCTCTCCTCCTGGAGAAGGTCTCGGGGTCAGGACGCCAGCAGTAAGTTCCCTACACCACCCTCACCGTCCCCGCCCTGCTGGCCGGAGCTCAGAACGTCCCCCCCCCGCCCAGGCTACATCACCCCCCACCCAGGGCCGGACCCTGCATCACAAATGCTCACTCAAACGACCCCGTCCACAAACAACGCCATAACGAGAAGGGTCGCACCTTCCCCCGCCCTGGCGTGCTCCTGCCCCGCCCGCCCTTCACGCTTAGCCTCCGAGAGAGGCTTCTCCGCTCGCTCTTTCCCCGCTCCCCGATGGAAATCACCGGGACGCTCCTGCCCTCGGGATTCAGTCCCCATGCTCTCGCCAACGTGCCAACTGCAAAGTGCCGAAGCCAATGGGTCTCCCATCTAAATCACCACGTCCCCTCCCTCACGGCCCTCCCCACCCCGGCTTCAGGGATGCTGTCCTCCTGTTCTCTATCTCTAGTTGCCCCATATATTTTAAAAAAATATATTTTATTGATTTTTTACAGAGAGGAAAGGAAAGGGATAGAGAGCTAGAAACATCGATGAGAGAGAACATCAGCTGCCTCTTGCACACTCCCCACTGGGGGATGTGCCCGCAACCAAAGTATATGCCCTGAATGGGAATCGAACCCAGGACCCTTCAGTCCACAGGCCAACGCTCTATCCACTGAGCCATACTGGTTAGGGCTCTAGTTGCTCCATCTTTTTTTTTTTTTTAATTTAAAAAAATATATATTTTATTGATTTTGTACAGAGAGGAAGGGAGAGGGATAGAGAGCTAGAAACATCCACGAGAAACATCGACCAGCTGCCTCGTGCACACCCCCTACCGGGGATATGCCCGCAACCAAGGTACATGCCCTTGACCGGAATCGAACCCGGGATCTTTCAGTCCCCAAGCCGACGCTCTATCCATTGAGCCAAACCAGTCTCGGCTCTAGTTGCTCCATCTTAACCTCCTTGGCTACTCTTCACTCATTCTTCCTCGGAGCTTCATCACCTCCTTCCCTGCTGCTCTTTCTGCTCCCCCGCCCCCCCTTGCCTTCTCCAGGGAGCGCCCACCTACTCTCCGGCTTGGACCACTGCAGGCTCCTTGGCATCTCCCGCACCCATGGTTTCACTGGATGTCCGTGCGAAGGTCCAGACCCAGACTCGGCTGCTGCCTGGAACCCGCACCTCACTGCTAGCCAGCAAGCAGGAGCCATCTTTGCCCCCCCCCACCCCCCCACTTCTCTCTCCCTCGTGCAATCAAGCCCAAGCCCAGCGGCCAGTCTCCTTCCTTCACGCTCCTCTGAGTGCCCTTCCCCCCACCTCCACTGCCACCTTCCAAGCCCAGGCTCTCCGCACCTCTCTTTCCGGTGGCCTTCCAAGCAGCCTCCCTCCCACCTTCACCCCTGCAGCCAGACAGAGATCGACTCTCGACCCTCCGCTGTAACCTTTAATGTCTCCCTGGCCCCTGAAGTCCAAACTCCTGACGCTGCTGCTCAGGTTCCTCTGACCTCAGGTTCCTCTGACCGGACCTCCATGGAACCCTCCGGTTCGCCTCTGGGTTCCCCATGACCCCAGTTCCAATGCCACACGCGAGGCCTCTGAGCAGCTCCTGCGCGTGCTATGCCCACCGATGAGAGCTCCCTCTCACCCCGTTTGCTCCCTTAACGATAAGGTAACCAGACGTCCCGATTTTTAACAATTTGTCCTGCGTCCCACGGCGTTTTAAAACACCGCGGGACAAATTGTTAAAAATCAGGACTGTCCCACCAAAAGCTGGACATCTGGTTACCTTACTTAATGATAAGTAAGGTGGGACAGTTCTGATTTCTAACAATTTTTCCCGCATCCTGCAGCGTTTTATTTTATTATCTATTTATTAAAATATATTTTATTGATTTTTTACAGAGAGGAAGGGAGAGGGACAGAGAGCTAGAAACATCGATGAGAGAGAAACACTGATCAGCTGCCTCCTGCACGCCCCCCACTGGGGATGTGCCTGCAACCAAGGTACGAGCCCTTGACCGGGATCGAACCTGGAACCCTTCAGTCTGCAGGCCGAAGCTCTCTATCCACTGAGCTAAACCGGTTTTGGCCCATGGTGTTTTAAAAAAAGTCCCGATTTTAGGAAAGAATCTTTCCAATCTTTCCAAAAATCAGGATTTTTAAAAAAATATATTTTATTGATTTTTTACAGAGAGGAAGGGAAAGAGATAGAGAGCTAGAAATGTCAATGAGAGAGAAACATCGACCAGCTCCTCTTGCACACCCCCTACTGGGGATGTGCCTGCAACCAAGGTACATGCCCTTGACCGGAATCGAATCCGGGACCTTTCAGTCCGCAGACCGACGCTCTACCACTGAGCCAAACCGGTTTTGGCAAATCAGGACTTTTTTAAAACGTCCCAGAAGGCGGGAAAAATTGTTAGAAATCAGGACAGTCCTACCCAAAGTGGGACGATCTGGTCACCTTACTTAATGACCAAATGGCGGGGCACCCCCTCTCTGGGGGTTCTTTGCCCTCCAGAGCCCCAGCATCCTGGAGCTGTGACTCCTCCGATACCGAGGTTGCCACAGCCTGCGAGGTCTGCCTGGGTCTCGCTCTCAGGACACGTGCCCTTGAACTCAGTCACCATGGTGGAAGGGAGCTCACGCCCCACGAGGAGGCTTCACGGGGCTGTCCCAGCGGACAACCCCAGGGGGGCTCAGGGCTGATTCTAGCATCCACCACCAGACACGGGAATAAACTACAGTCTCCAGAATTCAGCGACCAGCAGTTTTCTATAAAAACCCAGAGAGTGAAGTATTTTTGGCCTTGTGGACAGAATGTATCTACCACCTCAACTTAACTGCCACTGCAGTGTGAAAGCTGTTCGACACATGGGCATGGCCGCGTGCCAATAAAACTTTACCGGCAAACACAGGCGGTGGGCGGACTCTCTGGCCCTGGGCCACCGTCTGCTGACCCCCTGCTTTAAAGGATTCTAGTTCCCAGACTCCCAGTCGTCCGGCGGAGGGCCCAGACACTCTCCAGAATAAGAGACAAGCTGTTCCCGCTGCGCTGCCGTCTGAATCTCTGACTCACAAAGACTGTGACAGACAATACATAATTATTGTTGTTTTAAGCCATTAAGTTTTGGGGGTAATTTAATATGCAGTAATAATTAGCTCGAGTGTACACAAACCCTGTGTGGATGTGTTGGTTCATGCTTCTGCTCAGCTGTCTGTGTGTTTCTCTCGCAGGCATTCGACAAGAGCCCGCCGCGCCCACGGGGCCCCGGGTGGCGGCGGGGGAGCCGACACAGCGCCTGGCTCCACGGAGCTCAGACCAACACCGAGGTGGGTCCAGCCCAGCATGAGAGGTGTCATGCTGGCAGATGCAGAGGGGTCCTGGGGCCCAGGAGAGACGCCCCCTCCCAGGCCTGTGTGGGGGCTGGGCTGTTGGGAAGTGTCACCCAGGGGAGAGGTGTCTGCTGGGGCCTGTGGAGGGAACAGGCAGAGGAACACGGCAGCCTGTGAGAGCGGCTGGGAAAGGAAGGGCAGACACCAAGCCCTGTGCAGGGCCCCTGTGCTCTCCCGGAGAGCTGGGCCAGCCCCAGGAAGAATCACAGGTGGGCATGCCATCCCACGAGTGTCTGATGGAGCGTTTTCTACCAACACCCGCCTCTGTTGTGTGGATGGGGCTAGAGTGCGGGCGCTAGCCACCCCGTGGCTGGGAGGTAGGCTCTGGGAGGGTCCCTAGCCCGCATTCAGGCAGACCAAAGACAAGGCAGGGCCTAAACAGCTGGGCCTCCCGTCAAGCCCTTAGGGCCCGGAGTACCTGCCCAGCTGTTGGCTATAGGGGCCCCTCAGTCACTGCGGCAAAGCGGACGGTACAGGGAGAAGGGCAGAGAGGAGGAACAGGAAATGGGGCATGTGGCCAGGTCCCTCGGAGGAGACCCCCGGGCCTGCAGGCCTGGGCGGGGCAGGCAGGCTGGAGGAACTGCCTACCTGGGGTCTGGTAGTTGAGCCTGCGCATCTCCACGGGGTCGGAGGAGTTGGCCAGCAACGAGTCCTTCAGCCCAATCGACTGCTCGTCCTTGGACGATGGGGAGTGGGTCCTTTTCCTGAAGGGGCAGAAGGACGGCTGGTGAGAACCCGAGGTCCAGGCAGAGGCTGGAGAGACGGATGGTATGACAGAGCCCCTGTGTTCATGGCTCTGTCCCCCGCCCGCCCCGCCCCGAAGTCTCTGAGCACAGGGGAGCCAGGGGCAGAGCAGCTTCGACATGGAGAACACAGGGTAGGGGTGGGGAGACAGCAGGATGGGGAGTGGCCAGAGGGAGGTGCAGCGACGGGGAAGGGGATGCGGAGGCTGGTGGCTCCTTCCGATAGAGGGCAGGTCACTGCTGGGCAGTAGCTGCTGTCCCTGCGGCTGCCACAGCTGAGACAGCAGGAGCCACCGGGAATAAACATGCAGACGACACAGAAGATACACAAACGCCACAGAGCGCTGGGCCCTAGCTGCCTGATTCTCGGCATCAGGGTGAATGCTCGAAACAGCAGGGGCAGACAGGGAGCGCATCCCCCTCGCCGGCGGAGTCCTCCCCTGATGGCCTCAGCTCCCCTGCCTCCAAGGACAGGGTCAGAGGCAGACTAGGGGGCCTAGCTGCGGACAAGCGCCTAGAGGGAAGAACCTGCGTGAGTTTGCACGAGCGTGCAGCGGTACACACTCCCCCAGGGCCTTGCAAGCAGTGCTCTTTGCATGCACACAGACTGTCTCTGCAGCACTGAGAGAACTCAGACAGGGAGCCTGGTGGAGGGCTCCATGAGCTCAGAGCCAGCCTGCTCACGCAGGGGGAGCCTCGGAGGTCTGCGCTGTGGCTGGGCCCTGGAGAAAGGGCGCTCCTTGTACAGGGCGCAGGTGGAGAGAGGGCCAGAGCCTGCCCCGGAGCCTGCGGAGCGGACAGGACAGCCACGGGCCAGGACGCTTCCGGTCAAAGCACCGCCCCTCCCTGCGGAGCCCGGAATATGCACAGGGATCATCAGTGAGAGGGGAGGCGTGTGAAGACAGAAGGAATGACTCCTACCTTTCTTGTTTACTAGGTCCCGAAAGACAGGCAAGGACAGAAGAAAGGAGCGGTCACTATTTCCACCAAGCACTCAGGCCCTCTCGGGACATGGGGGACACGGTGGGGCCTTCCTATGGCACCCACATGGCACCCACAGAGAGGGCAGGGGGCTGCCTCTCCTGACAGACACCAACACCCAGATGGACTGGGGAGGAGGATGCATGGGCGTGGGGACGCTCCTCGGGTCTGCCCAGTGGTCTCCGCGCCCTGGGCCCGGACAGTCCGCCCTACTCCCCCTGGGTGGAAGGAGCTGACTCTTCAGGGAAGAGGCAATGGGTGCAGGCAGAGATGGGGCACAGAACTCACACATGGAGATGTGCTCAGACACACAGACCAACACGCGCTCACTGACATGCCTTGTGGGCCCAGCCTTGTGCTGGGTGCTGGATATTCAGGCCCAGCACCTGCCTCATCGCTGGGGCAGAGGAGGGGCAGTGTGGGGCAGAGGTGGGGCCCGGGAGAGCCTCAGAGGATGAGACGGCCGCTGCTAGGTGGGCAGGGATTGGGTAGCTGCAGAGGGGAGGGTGGCACAGTCTCAGCTGGCGGGGACATGTGACAATGTCCCAGAGTGGTGGCAGGGGCTCCACCAGCCAGGCGTTTGACTGTCAGGTCCCCAAGGTGAGGGTTTATCTTGGGAACCACTAAAATGAGTTAAACTGCCAAGACTGGTTTGGCTCAGTGGATAGAGCATCAGCCTGTGGACTGAAAGGTCCCAGGTTCGATTCCGGTCAAGGGCATGTGCCTTGGTTGCGGGCACATCCCCGGTTGGGGGTGTGCAGGAGGCAGCTGGTCGATGATTCTCTCTCATTGATGCTTCTAACTCTCTACCCCTCTCTCCTCCTCTCTGTAAAAAATCAATAAAATATATTTTTTAAAAAAAGTTAAACTGAGGCGACAAATTCTCACCGTTGGCAATACTGTCCAGGCTGCAAGATTAAAGGGGGACCCCAAGAGCAGGTGGCTACTTCTAGGTGAGGAGAGAACCGAGGTGTGCTGTGTGCTAGGCCCCAGCTGCCTGCCCCTGCGTGACCCGTGGGGAGCCCGGCGGGACAGGGAGGAGCAGAGCCATGGTGTTCAGGATGGGCTCACAGGGGACGGTGGAGGGAGAGGGAGAGGGAGGGCGAGGGTGACCCCCAGGTTTGGTTGGTAATTAGGGCAATGGGAGGAGGGTTTTGGAGAAAGTTCAAGAGGCTCTGAGCTGGGGCAGCTGTGAGCGAGTGCTGCCGTTACAGCCAGCGCTCCATCGGGGTCTGCCAGGGAAACATCCGTGGGCCTGTGGGCCTCCAGCCGGGCCGGGACCTCCCTAGGCCTGAGTGGGAGAGCCGGGCTGGGGAGCTATCGAGGGAGGGCAGCAGAGGGACTGCTGAAGGTAGGAGACCAGGAGGGCAGCATCTGAGATGGATATGCTCACGCCTGCCGAACAGAGACTAACGGACAGACACACCCATGGATGCTCGCAGACCAGCCCTTGGTGAAGCTTGGCCTCTTGTCACACGTAGGTAAGTAAGGTGACCAGACGCCCCGATTTTTAACAAAATTGTCCCGCGTCCCTCGGCGTTTTAAAAATATTCCCGATTCTTTTAAAAAATTGGGACTTTTTTTTTTTTAAAAAGATTCTTTCCAGCCGAGGCCAGTTTGGCTCAGTGGATGGAGCATCGGCCTGTGGACTGAAGGGTCCCAGGTTTGATTCCAGTCACGGGCATGTACCTTGGTTGCGGGCAGATCCCCAGTGGGGGGTGTGCAGGAGGCAGCTGGTCGATGTTTCTCTCTCATCGGTGTTTCTAACCCTCTCTCCCTTTCCCTTCCTCTCTGTAAAAAATCAATAAAATATATTTAAAAAAAAAAAATTCTTTCCAAAAATTGGGACTTTTTTTTTTTTAAAACGCCACGGGATGCGGGACACATGGTTAAAAATGGGGACTGTCCCGCCCAAAGCGGGACGTCTGGTCGCCTTCGGTAACAGACACATGTGCACACACTCTGCGTCTGCTCTCCCTGGCTTCCCACCGAGCCCCGGGCGGGTGCGGGCTGGCGTGGCCGCCCTGTGCCCGAAGACGCCGGGCCTAGGGAGGCCCGAGAGTCTGGGGACAGGTGGCCGGCCGTGAAGTCCGGAGCGCAGTACTCACCTCTTGAACAGGAGGATGGCGATGACGATGAGGATGATGAGGATGACCGCCAGGACGGGGCCCGTCACCCACAGCATCTCGGGCTCCTCCTGCTGCTGGGCCGGCGCCACCTGGACCACAATCTCGTCGGAGTAGGGGCTGGCGGCGTAGCGCTTCTGTGGCGGGGGAACGGCACGGCGGTGAGCTCCGCGTTGAGGGCTCCCGCCCTCTGCCCGCCATACCGAGAGGGAGGGCTCTGGGGCTGGGCCTGGTCTCCCGGACCCAAGGGCCTGGTCAGCTGACTGGGGGCCCAGGGTAGATGAGGCCCGGGGCTCTCTAGATCCTAGAGGCTGGTGTCTTACGATCGCTTCTGTAGGTCTGGGGTTTCTGGGGGCTGCCTCGTGCCTGGGGATCTCGGGGTGTTGGAGCCTGGCCTGGTCTTGGGTCGGGCCTGGGGTCTGGGGGTGCTGAGGGCCCAGGAGGCTCAGGCAGACCTGGTCCACGGGCTCCTTCAGGGAGGCGAGCACAAAGCACTGGTAGCTGAGGTCCGGGGACAGGGGCGGGTTGTAGAAGCCCTGGTAGCTCTTCTTGTCCCCCAGGGTGAAGGTCTCGGGGAGCACGTCCACCCGAGCGGCCACGTAAGGCTTCAGCCGCTCTGCCTGCCGCCGCCGCCGCCGCCGCCGCTCGCCGCCGCCGCCGCCCTGCTCGATGGCCTCCAGGAGCTGGCGGAGCAGAGCACAGTCACGCCTGCCCCGGAGCACGTGCCCCCGAGCCCGCCCAGCCTGCTTTCCTGGCAGCGGGGCCACAGGCCAACGCTGGACCCCAGACGCGGCAATGCCACTCCTTCCCTCTAGGGAACTGCCCCCCGCCCCTCGGACAGGGGGAGGACCCCCAACGTCCGGGGGCTCCTCTAGACCCTGGGACCCTCTGCAGCCCACAGGACTCTGGGTTCTCCAGACCCACAGAGGTGTTCCTGCCTCTTCCCACGGCCGGGAGCCTTGGCAAACCCCTCGGGGCCTCCTCCACACACCAGTTCTCGGAAGCTCCTGGGAGCCACCTCAGAGCCCCTCTTCCCTGGAGGGGCCTGGCTGCCAGCAAGAGCAACCAGAGAGGGGTTCCGATGGAGGGGAGCCGCCGGGGCCACCGCCAGCCACCGCCCCGGGGCCGCCGCCCCATCCCGCACCTCGTCCAGCTCCAGCTCCTCCGGCGTGTTCCACCTCGGGGCCAGCATGCTCCCGCCCACACCACGGTCAATGGGCACCACCACGATGTAGAACCACCTGGGTGGGCAGAGCAGGAAATGGGACCGTCGTCGTCGTCCACGCCCACGTCACCAGCCCCGCGCCCCTCCCTGCCCCCAAGGCCTCGCCTGCCCACCTGACGAGGGCGGGGTCCTGCACGTGGGGCATGGAGAGGGTGAAGCGGCCGTCCTCCATGTAGGCAGAGGCGGGCACCGGCTTGTGCGGCAGGAGGTCGGGGGCCGTGCGGATGGACACGAGGTGCTGCAGGCCCCCCGCGCTGCTGCCCCGGTTCATCAGCACGAACGAGTACTCCGTGTTCGGCTGCAGGTGTGCGATCAGCTTCCGCATCGAGTGTCCGTCCACCTCCACGCTCTGCCCGTTGTACAGGATCTGCCAAGGGGACCGGGGGAGGCGCCGCGTCACAGGCCGGCAGGGTGGAGCTCGTGCGCGCACGCCTCCCCGGGGAGGACCCTGCGCCCGGAACGCGTCCGGATGCCCACGGCGGGACGGGAGTTACGGCCGGGCCGTCCCGCGCGCAGGCCGGCCGGGCCGTGGCCCTCACCCACCTTGAAGGGTACGGCCGACTTGTAGGAGTCGGGAACCTCCCAGCTGAGCAGCACGGACGTCTTCATCGCGGCCGCCACCCGGAAGTTCTTGGCGAACACTGTGGGGCAGAGAGGCAGGGCGTCAGCGCTGCTGTGGTAACTGGGGCGGAGGGAGTTGGGCCGGAAAGGTTCCCCAGCCCGGAAGAGACACCGCCTGAGGCGCAGGCGTTGGGAACAGTTGCAGAGACCCAGGCACCCCGCTCCCTGGCGGCTGCGAACCACACGGTTCGGCTCCCAGGCCCAGCTCTTCCTCCTCACAGCGAGCACCCGGCTGGCAGACGCCACGGCGCCCACGGTCAGGGTCTCCCAGAGCCCGTGGGTCCCAGCTGGAGCTCACAGGCACCGGGCAGCGGGGCCACAGGCCAGTGGGCGTTGGCCACGAGAAGCGTGTGGGCAAACACCAGAGGCGGCGCAGCACGGCCATTCAGAGGTCAGGGGGTGGTGGCCCCGAGAGGTTAGTGTCGCACGCCCAAGAAGGGCGATACAGTCAATAGAGACCAGTGGGTCAAGGTCGCGAGAGACTGGAGAGCCACACAGCAGAGGTCAGTAGGTCAAGACAGCAGAGGTCAGAGGTCACACGCAGAGAACACCGCAAGAGGTTAGTGGTCACGGTCACGAGGGTACCGGAGGGTCACGGATCAGTCTCCAGAAGTCAGAGTTGGGTCAAAAGGCAGCAGAGTTTCCCCGGGTGCAGCCAGGAGCCCGCAGCACACACCTTGCTCCGCGGGCATGGTCCGGGACTGGATGCTGGGGCTGAGCGGGCCGGCGCCTTTGCCGGTGTGCGCGCGGACCTTGATGTCGTACGTGGTGTCGGGCGTGAGGCCCGAGAGCGTGAGCCGCGTGCCGGCGGTGGCGTTCTGCAGCTCCTGCTGGCTGTTGATGTCATGGTACACCACGGTGTAGCCGGTGATGCGCCCGTTCTGCTCCGCCAGCACCGGGGGGTCCCAGGCCAGGTCCGTGGTGGAGGCCGTCAGCCCGGTCACGCGCAGGTTTTGCGGGAAGCCGCTGGGCACGTCCTCGGGGGTCACGATCTCCTTCTTGAACTCCTCGCCCAGGCCGGCCCGGTTCTTGGCGGCAAGGCGGAAGACGTAGGTGGCCCCCTTGTGCAGGCCGGTGACCGTGTAGTGCTGGTCCTCCTTGCCAAAGTCTAAGGTGTTGGGCTTCGTCTCGTCGGCCCGGTGGTACTGCAGCCGGTAGCCCAGCAGCTCCCCGGGCAGCTCCTTGGGCGGGTTCCACTGGAGCAGGGCGGTGTTCATGGCTGTGGCGCTGACCATCATGGTGGGCCGGCCTGGGACTGAACAACCACGCGCTGGGCTCTGGCGCCGCCCTCCCTGCGGCCCCTCCCCCAGCTCCGCCCAGGGCCCCTCACTCACCGGCCCCCGTCGTCATGACAATTTTGGGCTTGCTTCGGGCACCATCTCCCTTGGTGGTGTAGGCAGCGACCGTAATGGAGTAGGTGGTCTCCGGGGTCAGGCCGCTGATGGTGGTTTCCTGAGGGAGGAGGAGGAAGAGCCCATTCCCATCACAGGAGAGCCAGCAGAGGCGAGACCAGGCCAGCCATCTCCAGTTCTGAGCCGGCGGGGAGTCCCCAGGGGCACAGGGGGCCAGAGGTCCTGGGAGGGTGCTGTGCAATGCTGGCCTCTGCTAGAGGCGGGATCAGGCAGGTGGGATGGGTGCCCAGGAGGACCCCGCCCGTCCCAGGATCCGCCTGGGGCAGACGGCTGGTTCTTCCTTTCAGACGAGAACAAAGGGCCACGCTGTTCTTTCACTCCATTGTACCGTGAATGACACCTCGGCGGCCTGCGCACCCATGACACACAGGGCCTCGCACGCACGCACGCACACAGCACCTTGCATGGCTCCTGGCACACCACACACACCCATGCACACCCACAGAGCAAGGTAGAGGGATGAGCCAAGGTAGAGGGATTAACCACCCTGCAGGATCAAGTCAGGACCCCTATCTGACCCCCATAGAGGCACTGGCTCCACGGATACCTTATGCCACGCAATGCCTCCCGAGACAGGGAGGAGAGACGAGAGGGAAGCTCCACACGGGGCAATGCCCTAACCCATCAGCCCAAGGGTGCCCGAGAAGTCAGCCAAGGCAGAGTCCCCTTGCCTTGGCAGGCCCTGCCCGTTTGCCCTCGTCCAGCCAAGGCATTGTTTCCGGACACGTTGGGAAACCACGGGAGGCTAAGCCACGCCACACAGAGGGAAGAGTGGGAAGAGAGGAGGGACCAACGTGCACTGGGACCACAACTGTCACCACCAGCCCTGGCGTCCCTCCAGCTCCGAGCCTCGGACGGGTCCCTACAGCCGCCACCAAACCCTTGCAGGCCCCCTCCTGCCCCAGCTGGAGGGTCCCCCAGGGCTGGGACTCCAGAATGCACCGATGAGGAACCTGGCTCCCCGGATTCCCCTCCCAGCCTGGGCCTGGAGCAGGTGACTTTTCACTCCAGGGATCCATAAGGCTGAACGATCAGGATTGGATTTAACTCCATCCCCCTGTCTGGCCAGAGCAGTGGCCAGGCCCTGGTCAATCACAAACTTTGGCCTGAAACTGCCGCTCAACAGGCGAGTAGTAAGGATTAAAGGAAACGCCAACGGCGGCTCAGCTCGGGGCACCTGCCTAGATGCCTATTTTCTCCAGACGCGGCTGGTGCCCCGTGGATCTTGGCGGCTCAGGCTGGGAGGAAAGGCGGAAGAGGGGGAGTGACCCGAGAGCCCAGCCTGACCCAGGTCTCGCCCGCATTCGCACACCTGTTACTTACATAGTCCTCGGACTCCTCTGGCTGCCACTGACCGCGGGAGAGGGAGAGAAAGGGAGACAGGATGTGAAAGACTTTGGCCTGGAGAGAGTCTGGCCCAGGGAGGGCAGGGGGAGGACAGGGGCCTCAGATGTGCCCGTGAGGCTAGCACCTAAAACAACTGTCCACCTGAATATCCCAGCCCCTGCCTCATGAGCCCAACTGTGTGTCGGGGCTGAGGAGGGGAAGGCTCCAGGCTGCTGAGGGACCAGAGAGCGCAACCTGAAGGTTCTTGGAGGGTCTGGCTGCCCACATGGGGGTGGGCAGGACAGCTCAGGCAGAGGGGAGGGAAGACACCATGGGATGAGCAGGAAGGGTGACTGCACAACCTGGTTTGCAGGGGGCAGTCTTGGCCTATGCTTGTCGCCATGGTATGATTACTGACTCTCAAAAGCATCCTTTTAGCCGAGACCGGTTTGGCTCAGTGGATAGAGCGTCGGCCTGCGGACTCAAAGGTCCCGGGTTCAATTCTGGTCAAGGGCATGTATCTTGGTTGCGGGCACATCCCCTGTAGGGGTGGTGCAAGAGGCAGCTGATTGATGATTCTCTCTTATCGATGTTTCTAACTCTCTATCCCTCTCACTTCCTCTCTGTACAAAATCAATAAAGTATATTAAAAAAAAATTTGATAAATAAAACAGAAGTATGCTTTTACCTTCAAAAGTGTCCCAGTTGGGACAACAGATTATACCGTCATCCTAGGCAGGAGGACTGCCTGGGGGACAGCGAGAGCTGCACCATGGCTGGAGGTGGGAGCCTGGACAGCAAGGTGACAGAGGCGTGAGTGCCAAGCTCAGAGCCAGGGCCCTGCCCTGCAGGCATGGGGAGGCACGCAGACCCTAAGATCTCATTGAGGCAGGAAGGCCTGTGCCAGGGCTGGCAGAGAGGCTATTTCTTGGTGTGTTCTTCTTTACTTCATGATACAGTAGGTGTACTAGCTGGACAGGTGGGGGAGTAACGTCTCCATTCTGCCATCCTACGGCATTGGGAGTGCTGGGGACTGGCAGGCGGACAGCACAGCACAGCTCAGGGAAACCGTCTGTGACATCTCCAAGATGGAGGCACCATGGGTCCCCAGCCCCACCATCCTCACAGTGCCAGTCTGGCCTCTGTGCGCTGTGCCCAGTCCCTTCTGTTCCGGGACGCTCTGCGGGAAAGGCCTTGCAGGGAAAGTGGGACGGGACATGGGGGGAGGCCCCTGGCAGGCCCCTACCCGCCAGGGCCGGGCCCACCTCTGCTCCAGGCTCCTTGCCTGGTGGGAGGCATGCGCTGTGCCCGACAGGCCCGGGCAGGGAGGTTCTCACGGGGCCCTCTCCTGCGCTGGAGGCACAGTGAGAGAGAGGAAGGGAGATACAAAGCAAGCGGAGCAAAACAAAGAGAAAGGAGAACAGGAAGGGATCCGAGGAAAGGAGAGAGAAGAGAACGAAACAGACAACAACACAGGGAGAGGGAGAAGCAGACACAAAGGGGAACGAGCCCAGGAGAAAGGGACAGAAGGGCTCAGGAGGTACAGAGACCATGAGAGACAGAGACAAACCCGAGACATACACAGAAGGTGACACCCTCTCGGGGGCACATCCCCCACGGTCCTTTCAGAATGGAGGGGGGCCCTGAGCCTAGCAGATGGTGCTGCTGGGGGAAGGACAGGCGGTGGTGTCCTTGACAGACCACTCAGGGGACAGCTGAGCCCTGTGGCCAGACCGGGGGACCAGGCCCCATCTGCTCTCCTACCGGCTCGGAGCAGAAGGACCCAGTCCCACGGGGGCTTCCCTGGAGCCTGAGCTCATGTGTAACCCCCACCCCCACCCAGGTCACAGGATATTGGGACCAAGAGGGCGGCATCCCTCCTCCTACAGCTCAGCTCCCTTGAAACCACCTGGGACCAGAAGGGGGCACCCGAAGTGGCTTCTCCAGAGCCCCACTGGGGGCGGCTGTGCCCCTGGCCCCTAGGGCGGGAGGGGCCGGGGAGAGCCATTCCCGGGATGTTTCTGGATGGGTGTGTCTGCGGAGGCTCCAGGAGGAACCCTCAACCTGCCCCAGGAATGCGGCGGGTACATGCCTGCCTCCTCCACCCCCTTGTTCTCTCCGAGGGGAGGAGAGGGAATCTTCTGGGGGGAAAGGAATTCTGCTCAGAGGGCGGAGCCCCGCAGGAGGCAGGAGGGCCCCTGTCGATGTGGGTGAGACGGCCTTAAGCACTGGCACCTCCGATCCCAGCCCAGGTAGGGTGGGACACTGGGTGGGGAGGGTGCGTGGCTCTGGAGGGAATCAGGGCTCCTCTCCTGAGGGCTGGCTCCCCGGAGGCCCTGATTCTAGATGGGGAGACGCGGAGAGCACACCGCGCCAGATGTTAGCTCTTCTCAGCAGAATGTGCAGGGAGGGAGCTTGCAGCAGCAATTACAGCCCTTTCCCCAGGACTCCAGAGACTTGGCTTCCTATCCAAGCTCAGCCACCTACTTGACTGGGAATTCTGGACCACGCACATCACCTCCCAGGACCCCTGGCTCTTCATCTGAACAGCTGAATCCAGTGCTGAGGGCACCCCAGGGACCTCAGCCCAAGTTCAGGGGCAGAATCATCAGGAGAGAATACAGAGGGAGATGCAGGGCTTGCTGGCAGGCCCAGCTCTTGAGAGTAAGCATGAGGGACCGAGCCATCCTCCTGGGGGCCTGGCACAGAGCAACATCCCAGCCTGGCCATTCACAGAAACTCAGCAATGGCCAAGGGCCAAGCTGGGGGAGAAGACTGCCCAGGAGAGCTTTCCTGGCCCTGCTGGGAGCAGGAGCTGGCCAGCTCAGCACTGTCTAGGAGGAAGTACATCCCAAAAGCCTAGCCTGATGTGACAGCGAAGGTTCCCAGGAGGATTTGGAGGGGCGGGAGCCCAGGTAGCGGTGACAGCGGAGGCTTGGGTCGGTGGAGACAGAGCTATTCAGTGCTGGTGCCGGCGACTGAGCCACAGAGGGGATTGCCAAGCCAGAGGGGACTGTCACCAGGGCAGAGGGGGCTGGCAGGGCCTATTTCTGGAACCGAGCCCCAACCCCCTGGTCTCAGTGCCACCGTCTGAAAGCAGGCAGGGGAAGGCGCAAACCCGGGCTCCAGAGAGGAAGCCAGCGTAGCGTGCTGGTCTCGGCCACCCTCCCACCCCACCTCCCGGGGGCGCACCTGGGCCTCAGCCAGCATGACGTCCTGGATGATGGGTGGGCCGCGGGGCTCGCCGTTCTCCAGCCGCACGTAGGTGACCTGGTAGCCTCGGATCTGGCCGTGCTGCTTGCTGGGGACGGGCAGCTTCCAGGACACGTGCACGGCGGTGGAGTTGAGCGGCTCCACCTCCACCTTCCGCGGCGGCCCGCTGGGCACTGGGGACCAGGGAGACAAGGAGGTCAGGCCTGGCGGCATGGGTCCTGCTCGGGCGGGCACCCCACCGCCCCGGGAGAGGCCGATACGGCTCCCTTAGGCTTCCTGTCCCTGGAGAGGGACACGGAGGGCTCCCTCTGCCTGGCAGCGGGGAGAAGCCAGGACCCTGAGACCCCTCTGGCTTAGGGCTACCTCACTTGGGGGGAGAGGAGAGAGGTCTTGGATGACCCCAAAGTCAGCACAGCCTGTTGTATCTCCTCCTGGGGCCCCCGATCATGCCAATGTCCAGGCCAGGTGGAGCCATCCCCCGGGTCCTCATCACTCACATCTTAGAGGAGGGGGCTACTTCTTCCATCTTAGCCTTTGAAGGCTCTGGCTGCCCTGGACGTAGCCCCGAAGGCTGGGATTTGGGCAAAGGCTACCCCATAACAGGCTATCCCCGAAGCTCCCTCTCCCCAGCTTTGGCCATTCAGCCCACACCGGGAAGAGGAGTCCTGGGCCCCTGAGAGACCAAGGCCCCGGCTGCAGGCCCCCTCCACCCCCCGCCCCTCCCCTCCCTCGGCGCCGCCGCCTACCGTCCTCGTTGGTGCGCACCAGCACCGGGCTGCTCTCGGGGCCGGGGCCCACGTCCGTGTGCGCCCGCACCCACACCCGGTACTCCGTCCACTTCTCCAGGCCCACCAGGTCCCAGCTGGAGTGCTCGCGGCTGATGCCGTTCACCACCTGCCGCCGGCGGTCCTCGCCGTCCACCGCCTTGTAGGCCACCGAGTACTGGGTGATCACGCCGTTGCGGCTGTCGGCCGGCGGCGGGACCCAACTTACCCGGACCGTGGTGGAGCCCGTGCTCACACAGGTCACCTTCTGGGGAGGGGCGGAGGGGGCTGGGGAAGACAAATGGGGGGAAGCAGGCAGATGGAGGGGGGGGTCACAGGCACGGTGACAAGCCACAGAGGAGGGGAACTCACCCAGGCAGGCCATTCCTTGCGGGGCAATGGCTATCCGAGGGCCCCCCGGGCAGACTACAGCCACTGCGGCCAGACAGCCTGGCTACCTCTGGACCACGGGCGTGTGCACGCCAGCTGAGTCTCTCTCTCACACACACACACAAATGGTATCTCCCACACACGCATATGGTGTCTCTCATGCATATGGGGCTCTCACACAGAGCCTCACACACATATGGTGTCTCGCCCAAAACACACACACACAGCATCAGGCACACACACAAGCATGGGGCCATGCCACCCCCACCCCGGGCACACAACTGCACACAGCTCTTCCCTTCGAGGACGAGAGGCTCCCGCGGCCCTTCTGGAACCAGGATGATGCCCCTGGCCTGTGCCTGCCTGGACAGGGTGCCTGCGCCAGACCACAGGCGACACCAAAGCCGGAGGCCGGATGCAAAGGAGGAGCATGGCCCCAGGGTCGTTTGGAGAAAAAGCACCGGAGGTAGGTGCTCCCTCAATGGGCTCCTCGGGGGTCAGGAGGCAGGTCGGTGCCTTCCTTGCTCCCAGTGACACGTCCAGACCCTATTCCCACCAGGACGGCTGCCACCACCCTTGCCCACGACCTCACAGTCTCCGCACCTCCAAGGCGTCCTCCTCCCCAGCACTGCTGAGCCCAGGCCCTGGATAACACCGCCACGACCGGGAACAGCCCCACTTCCCTAACCGTGGCTCCAACGCTCCCGCGCAGACCTCACCCCTCTTCGCAGCCCCGCTGCCCAAGGCCCCGGCTCTTTACCCGCTGGAGACCTGTCCATCGACGGCCATCCTTACCGCCCTCAGCATTCAGCCAGACACCGAAGTCCTCCATCTTACCAACACCCCAACTCCTCGCCCCCTTCCCGTCCATGCTCCCGCCCGGCCTGCCCCGAGCTCTGAATGAACCCAACGCTCCGTAGCACTGGGGCGGGAGAGAGAGCTGCCAGGCAGGCCAGGGTGGCAGCTCTGATCCCATCTCCTCCGCGCTGCCTATCTGTTTCCTGTCGACCTCACTCTGCCATGTGACACAGAGCACTCCCAGCCTCCTCCATGCTCCTCAAACCTCTGGCTCCCATGACCCCTCCTCCTCAGCATATGACCCCCTCTCCCACTCCGCAGAGAAAAACCAGCTTCCCCAAAGCAGCTCCATCCAGCTCTGCTACCACATCCACCCACAAACTGCATTCTCCCCCCCCCCCCCCCTGCCCGAGGCCAATCACTCCGGCCCCTGGGCTCTGCCCCCTGCCCCTCCCGAGCCTCCCACTCCCCTGTTCCTTCCAGTAGTATTTAATATGCCTACGACGTCCCCATTAGAGAGGACTTCCCCGTCCTCAGCCCCACATCCCACCAGCTACAGTGGTCCCCTTCCTCCCGACTGAACATCGACGCCTGAGCTTTCCGTCTCTGTCCTCACCTCCTGCCATGCCTTCTGAAATCCCATCGGCTTCAGCCCCTCAAACCACCAACGCTCCCTTCCAGACCCATTCCTCCCCGTTCCTCTGGTCCTGACCTCTCAACAGCAATACCTGGCCCGCTGATTCTTCTTCTTCTTCTTCCTTTTTTTTTAATAAAATATATTTTATTGACTTTTTTACAGAGAGGAAGAGAGAGGGATAAAGAGTTGGAAACATTGATGAGAGAGAATCATCGATCAGCTGCCTCTTGCACACCCCCTACTGGGGATGTGCCCGCAACCAATGTACATGCCCTTGACTGGAATCGAACCAGGGACCTCTCAGTTCCCAGGCCGATGCTCTATACACTGAGCCAAACCGGTTTCAGCCTGGCCTGCTCTTTGATACTCTCTTCTTCCACCTCCAACACCGCCTCTCTCTTGGCCCTCCTTCCACCTCCGGCCACCCTCCTCAGGGCCCTCCATCTCCACCGGGGTTCCGGCAGCCTGCCAAGCCTCTCCTGCCAAGCGGATGGAGAATGTCGTCTTGAGCTTGAGTGCTTGCCTCTGTCCCACTGCCTCCCCGCAGGAGAGCGACCGCCCTCCTCCCAGGTCTGCACATCAGAAACAGAGGCTCCGCTGATGTTTCCCACTCAACCCTCAGACTCCTCCATCACCAGGTCCCGGCCAGTCAGCAGCCCAGACAGCCTGCACATGCACCCGACACCTCACCTGAGCCGCTGCCTTTTGCCAGCAGCCGCACAGCCTCCTCGCTGGTCCCTGGCATCCTGTCAGGCAACGCTACGCATTCGCAGCAGCAGCCACTCAGCGTCAGCGCTCCCACCTGCCTTCTGTCCCCGTGGTCTGGCTGCTGCTCCAGCCAGATGGGCCTGCTGCTTGCCCCCGGCCACAACCGAACACCCACCTCCTCAAGGGCCTGGCACCTCCTTACAGACCCCCTGCCTGAGGCCTGCTGTCACCCCAGGGAGCCCTCCCTGAACCCGCAGACCAGATGAGGTTCCCGTCCCACCATCTCGCCGCTGTCTGTCTCCTCCACAGCACTTTACACGGATGTAATTAAAAGCTCATTTGGGTAATTGCGGGTTTAACGGCTGTCTGTCCCACCAGGCTAGGATTCCCGTGGGCAGAGGCTGTGCCAGGGTCGTGTTGCCAGGCCTGCACTGTGTGTGGGGCCTGGTGCCCAGCAGGAGCACAAGAGGTGCCTGTGGAACGAATCCCTGAACATCACATCGCACGTGGCTCCCTGGCATCACTGGCACACGTGTGTAGTCGCTGTGACACGGACCTCTCACAGATGCTGCCGTGCTTTAAGGTTCTCACACACGCTTCCTGTCTCAACGCCACAGTCCCATCCAGCCACACACCCTCAGCACCGCTATCACAGAGCCTCGTGGACAGGGGCCTGCTGTGGCCACGTGACCAGACAGCTGTGGTCCCAGCGTGTGTCCTCAGGAGAGCTGCAGAGACCCCACCGACAGGGTCAGGGGTCAGAGAGCCAGAGACACACCTGCTGGGTCCCAATCCCAAGAACAGCTTTACAGACCCAATCACAGGGGCTCAGATTCACTGACACATGCCTGCAGGACTGCACAGTCCAGTGGTCAGATGTGGTCGGTCTCACACACACACACACACACACACACACACACGCACACGCTCACAGAGCCTGTTGCACTCACGCAGGAGTCAGCAATACACAAGGCCACACAGTTATCACCAACAGCCCTGCGGACGGTCCCACACAGACGGCCACGTGGTCGCAGAGCAGGCACAGGGACACGCTCAAATGGCCCCATTCCCACAGGCGTGCCCTGTGTGCAACTGGCTTGGTATGACCGCATGGCTCACACGTACTCACGGTGGGGGCAGGAGGACGGGAATAAGGGCGATGAGGGGATGAGATGTGGGGATACAGGGCGGGAGACGGCTGGTCTGGGCACAGCGAGGGTAGTGCTCCCACCACGGAGGCCTGCTTAGTCCGCTAAGGTGACCAACGCAGAGGCAGGAGGAGGAAGGAGATGAGTTACAGACACAGCACTTACCTGGGTGGGGCGAGGGGGCGTGGCAGGGACAGAAGTCAGACAGGAAGCAAGGAGTGCGCTGGCCACCCGGACACAGACTAGTGGGCACTTACCTGTCCCTCTCAAGGAAGCCCAGACCAGAGTCCAGTCCAGGGCCGCGCTGACCTGACCGCCTGCCTGGCCAAGGGGGAGGGTGTGTGTGTGTGTGTCCCAGCCCAGCAGTCTCAGAAGACACTTACTGGACTGTGCCGTGCGGGCCTCGATGGTGGGGGTGAAGACGCCCAAGCCCGTCTCGGAGCGGGCGGCCAGCTGGAAGTGGTACAGCGTGTCGGGCTTCAGGTCCTCTAGGGTGTAGGAGGAGGTAGGATCGAAGGTCACCTTCTGCTGGAAGAGCAGGGGGCACGCACTGACTGCTCTGACCTCAAAGGTCACTCAGGGGCTGTTCCCCAGCACGGGTGCAGCTGAGGAGCCCGGGTGGCCCCGGTGCTGGCTCCATGCCGCATGGCCACCTGGCCCACACAAGGGGCAGACACATGGGCAAGGAACCTCGGGACATAAGCCCAAGGGGAAATTCAGGGCTCTGCCAAGTGTCACGTGAGCTACACAGCCTGGGACACTCAAGGACAGACCCAGTGACTTTGCCACCAGCACCATAGAGGCTGCATAAGCCCCAGAGCACCAAGGAGGACCTCGGGGGGGTACACAAATCTAGGAAGGCCTGCCCGGGGAAGCCCCCCACAGGCCCCCAGGGACCAGAAGCCCTCCTCCCTCCTCCCGCCCTTGCCGGGCGCTCACCTGCTGGCCTTCCTCCTCTGCTGCCCAGTACACCAGCTCATACTTGACAATCCGCTCCTGCGGGGGCAGCAGCCACGAGAGCTGGATCCTCGTGTCCGACTCCACCTCGGCCTGGAAGTCCGTGGGCTGGGCCGGCACTGCAACACCCCACGCCAGGCACCGTCAGCCTCCCGTCCGCCCGGGGGCAGGCAGATCTTTACCCCCCCACATCCTCATCCTGCATTCCCCGAACCCCAAGTACACAGTCTGTGGAAGTAGGTACCACCAGACTTGGCCACTACGCCTTGCTCTGCCCGGGCCTTCCAGCCAGCTGCTGCCCCCACCTACCTCCTTGCTGTGTCTTGACCTGGATGGTGGGGCTGGGGGGGCCGTCGCCCACCGCGGTGAAGGCCAGCACCCGCAGGCTGTAGGTGATGCCGGGCAGCAGGCTGCCCACGGTGGTGAGGAGGCCCTCGTCCGTGTTGTGCTTGTGCCAGGCGCTCAGGGGGCGGCGGGCGTCGGGGGTGTAGTAGACGCGGTAGCCCCGCACCAGGCCGTTGGGCTCCTCGGGCGGCTCCCACTGCACCAGCATGGTGCTGGCGCTCAGCATGCGCGCCTGCACGCGGCGCGGCGGGCTGGAGGGCGCCTGCTCCCCCGTCCGCGCCCGCACCGCCTCGCTCGGGGGCCCGCGCCCGATGCTGTTCACCGCCAGCACGCGGAAGGCGTACTCCGAGAAGGGGCTGAGGCCGCCGATGCTGTAGCGGGTGGTGGCCACGCCGTCCACCTCCTGGAAGGGCCCCTCCGCGCCCGACGCCCGGTACTGGATGCCGTAGTAGGACACGGGCTCCGCGTTCCCGGAGTCCCAGGTGAGGGTGACGCTGGTGGCCGTCGTCTCTGTCACCACGAGGTCAATTGGAGGGTTCGGCAAAGCTGGGGACAAAGCGGGAGGCCCAGGGTTAGCTGAGGTCATGACCTCGGGGTCCAGCCCTGCTCTTAGGGGGGCGTCATTTAACCCGAGTGTAGCTGACCCCCACAGCCCACCCTAAGGATGGCCTGGAATGTCTGCAGTGACCTCGAGGGCACCTAGCGGGGATGGCGTCTGTCGGTGCCCCCAGGGGCCTTGGGTTCTTGGGTCCAGACACGTCACCTGGGACTGCCGGGATCCTCAGGTCAGCCTGTGACTCATCTGACCATCAGACCCAGATGTGACGTTGCCTGCCCGGGACCCATGCAGATGGGAGGCACACAGGCTGCGGGTAGGGCCCTGCTTCTGCAGCTTGCCTGGGCGCACCTGTTGGTCCCTATGTGTGACGGAGGCTGGGGAGGGAGAAGCTGTATCCTCAGGAAGTAGCCCTGGGTTTTAGAAAGAGTGACGGGCTGTTGGCCCCACAGGCCCGGTGACTGGGCTGAAGTTAAAGATAGAGAAGTTCCAAGTCCACAGTCAATCCTCAAGAAATGATTACTGAGTGTCAGGCACTACGCTGGGGGCAAGGGCACGTGTCACACAGACAGGTTTCTGCTTACATGGAGTTTAAATTCCAGTGTGCGAGTTCTAGCCGGTTTGGCTCAGTGGATAGAGCATTGGCCTGTGGACTGAAGGGTCCCAAGTTCAATTCTGGTCAAGGGCATATGCCCGGGTTGTGGGCTGGCTTGATCCCCAGTAGGGGGCGTGCAGGAGGCAGTCCATCAATGATTCTCTCTCATCATTGATGTTTCTAGCTCTCTCTCCCTCTCCCTTCCTTTCTGAAATCGAATTTTTTAAATTCCAGTGTGAGAGCCACAATCAATACATTGATGATGATTCTGGTGTATGTGCAAGGACAGAAGAGAGCAAGGTGCTAGCTAGGAAAAAATCCAGGGAGTCTCCTTAGATGGGAGACCAGGGAAGGCCTCCCAGAGCTGAGATCCAGAGAACAAGATGGAGCCAGCGATGGCCAGGGCTGGGGGAGGAGCATCGGCGTGGGGTGGGCAGCAGCGAGGCGGCGGCAGTGGGGACCCCTGGTCTTTATCCTAAAAGCCATGGGGAGACACTGGGAGGCTTTCTCCCTGTCTTCCAAGGGAGCGGCAGAATCCTGCTGTACGTGACACAGACCACTCCAGCTGCAGGAGGGCGGGGAGGGCCAGAGGGGGCAGAGTGAGAGCCGGGCGCGCTGACGGGGCTGCTAGATATGAGTGCCTACTCCAGGGCTCCCAACATCCTCCTTGGCTACTATTTATCTTACTTCACATCCTCCTTGCTGAGAGGATGGGAAACCCACGTGTGGTGCCATGCGGGGTTAGGAGGGCGTGCTGTGAAGCCAGACCTCCCAGGGTTCAAGTGGCTGCTCCGTTATTGCTCGGTGGACCCCTCACGTCAGCTTCTTCCCTTGTGAAAGGGGATGATGAGAGTGTCTACCTCCCAGGGTGACACTGAGACTGAATAATGTAATCTGTCCTTCCCAGCCCGGCGCTTGCCCTCAGAACTCAGTACCTGTTGGCTATTATCCTCGAGACTATTAACAAAAAAAACCCTCCCTCCACCACTGAGGGCCAGAAGGACCTCAGAGCCCGGGAGAGAGCAATGACTGGCCTGGCCCGGCCCCGCAGAACAGCCGTGCACCCTGGCATTCACCTTTCTTTTTTCAGGAAATTTTTTTTCACAATTTATTCTCCAGCCCTGCTTTCCTACCCATGGGACAGTTGACGTAGGTACATACATATGCATCTCTGGGCTTGTGTTCAATACAAGTTTGTTTATGTTATTGATCCACTGATTCACTGATGTCATCAAAATCTGTCGTCAATCTAGTTCACCTGCTCAGCCAACCCTTATCCTAGCTTTATTTGCTCAACGTTTTTATAAATCTCTTTATGCACCGTGAAACAATTGTGTGTGTTTCTCCCGAAAGGGACAGAATTTAGATCTGTGTTATGGGAAGACTTTCTGCACTGACGGTGCCCGCCGCCGTGTATCAGTGGCACTCACCTTTCACGCTGACCTGGGCCATGGCCTCGATCATGCCCAGTGAGGAGATGGCCACGCAGGTGTAGTTGGCCGAACGCACCACGTTGTTGAGCTCCAGCACGTTGCGGCCGACGGGCATCTCGTCCTCCTTGGTGAGCTCCTCGGCCCCCATCATCCACTTCACGTAGGGCATGGGGGCGCCCACGGCCACGCACGTCAGGTTCACGCTGCCGCCCGGCATCACCTCCTGGCTAGTGGGAGGGATGGAGAAACGCGGAGCCACGCGGCGCACTGCGGGGAGGAGGAGGAGAGAGGCGCTCACAGGCTGGGCAGGAGGGGCGGGAGGACGGAAGGGCGGGGGGGCCCCTCATCCAGGAAGCCCCTCTGGTCAGAGCCGATCCCACCTCGGAGGCGGGAGGGGCGGCGTCCCCGGGCCCCGGCTCACCACCTCCCACCCCGCTTTCAGGCTAGAAGCGGCACCCGCACTCAGGGGCTGCCTGGAACACGAGAGAGTCCGCAACCAAGCTCTTTTACAGCCGAGGAAACTGAGGCCAGAAGAGTCCGTCTGCCCAGGGCCACACAGGGACTCAGCGCAAAGGCCAGGTCTCCTCAAGGCCACAATCCGGCTCACCTTCCAGTGCCTGCCCCTCCCGCCTCCAGGGCCTCCCCCACCCCCCACCAAGGGTCTCCAGAGGGGCGAGCGGGGCACTAGCGAGAGAAGTCCAGGCACCCTGAGGTAGAGGGTCCTCGGAGCACAGCTGGAGCAGGGCAGAGGGTCAGTCTGGGGGTGACACGGCCACCTTCTCTGAGGTCACTGCCTCTACCTCCACGCCCAAGGGGAAGAGACGAAGGCAGTGGCGTGCCACCTGCTGGGACCTCGGCCATGTTCAAGGCACGGCCGAGGAGCCCACTAGGAGGGGCTGCCCCTCAGGAGGGCCTGGGCAGGGGCCGAGGGTCGGGTAGGGCCAGGGACGTGGTCCACGGGCAGGATGGGCATGATGATGGCAGTAACATGATGAGGGTGCCGAGCAGACTTTGGCTTTCCACGCCAATGAATGGGATCTCAAGGGGGAGGGTGGCTGTGTCTGGCCACACCCTCCAGCCTTGGGCTCCCGCAGATCAGAAGCTGTTCTGAGCTTCTCAGTCCAAGGTGCAGCCCCGTGACCTCCCGGCCCCCCCTTCCCCCCCAATGGCAAGCTTGGCACAGACATCCGGAACATGCAGAGAGGGAAGTGCAGGCAAGACCTAGCCACGGGCAGGCATGCTTGGCACGCAGACGGGTCATGCAGCTGGTGGGCAGAGGCTGGAGTGTGTCCTTCAGGGGCACCCCTGCAGACGGGGCTGGAGAAGGCAGGCAGCAGGGCTAACTGACCAGAGGGCACCACCCAGAGGGCGGGTTTCAGAGGACCCTGGCTGGGGAGCCCGGGCATGCAAGACCATGGTGCCCCACTGGGAGCACCTCCACTATGGGCTTCGGGCTCTGCTGCGGGCACAGCCTAAAGCCACAGAACCAGAGCTGGAAACAAACGCAGAGACCACCCGGTCCAACCTCCGACTCCCCTGCACAGGGTCAGGCTGCGGCCCAGGGACCAGCTCCCCGGTGAATAAGTCACCACGCCTATTCCCGCACTGCCTGAAACGTCTTTCACACCCACTCATTCCCCTCCAAATCCGCAGCAACGGGGATCCCAAGGCCTAAGCCACACCCCACTCTCTGGATTGCTGCATTGGACTCCTCACTGCTTTCCTGCCTTGTCGCCCCCCAGGCTCCCTCCCATAATTGGCTTCCAACAAGCAGTTGGCACAAATCTGCTCACATCACTTCCCCGATAAAAATCTGCATGGCCAAAACCGGTTTGGCTCAGTGGATAGAGCATCAGCCTGCGGACTGAAAGGTCCCAGGTTTGGTTCCAGTCAAGGGCATGTACCTTGCTAGTGGGCACCTCCTCAGTAGGGGGTGTGCAGGAGGCAGCTGATCGATGTTTCTAACTATCTAACTCTCCCTTCCTCTCTGTAAAAAAAATAAGATAAATAAAAAAAATAAAATACATATTAAAAAAACCAAAAACCAAAAACAAAACAAACTCCTGCATGGTCCCCCAATGACTCCGCAGCCCAGATTAACAGGACCTGACCTTACCCAGCCCCGACCTCAACTCCATCTACACCACCTCCCCGAGGCCTTTAGACGGAACGGAAGCACTGCCAGTGCCCTGAGTGAGCCAGGAATGACCCATGTCATGGGCTCGCACATTTCCCGCTGTGTCCCCAGGCTCACTGGGGTCTCGGCGTGTCTCACAGACATAGACCACTCTCCCTGCTAGAGCTGGCACCCTCATTTCCTTTAGGGGAACCAACCCGTTCTTGCCACGTGGGGCATGAGACCCAGCCCGGGTTACCACTGTGCAGCCTTCAGACTTCCGCAAAAATGACGAGAAGAGCGAGTTTCTTTCTCTGCTGTGGTGGCTAAGCCTGGGGGACTGGGGGCCACCTTTCACACCATGGGAGGACCCGCTTGTGAACTAACAGAGGGAAGCAGAGCTAAGCGACAGGGCAGACAAATGGCCACCCAAACTTTCAATACCTGGATCCAGCCCTGCCTGACACCGAAGCTACTTCCACTTATTTCAGTTTGGTAAAGCCAGAGGGTTTCCTTGTTTGGATGGAGCTCCTGTAAGTGGGTTTCTGCCATGTGCCCTAAAGCTGGGAGTTTACACCGAATGACTATAGCAGGTCGCAGGAAGAGCAGTTCTGTACGGCAGAGAACAGGTGAGCCCGGGACTTGGCTGCCAAGAGGAAGCCACAACACAGCTCCCTCTGAGCACGCTCCACAGATGGCACCAAAGTGAGGTCAGGAGGCATGGAAAGGAGCAGCATGGTGGTCAGGGACCCCTTGCCCTCTGGAGCTAGGCCTGAGGAGCAGCCAGGGGAGCAGAGATGCAGGCAGAACGGTGTGCAGACCAGTAGAGGGCCCAGGGTCCAGCACAGCACAGGGGGCAGTCCAACTGACCAAATCTTCTCTCCTCTCGGCCAGAGGCTGCCTCATCGCGTCTTTGCTCCCGGCATTTCAGGGAAGGGAAACTGCTCTCGAGCACCTGCTATGTGCTTAAAGGTTCCCACGGCTAACACCTCCAATTACAGACAAGAGAACCGGCTTAAGACTCTATTTTAGCCCAAGCCGGCTTTCTCAGTGGTTAGAGCCTCAGCCCTCGGACCAAAGGGTTCTGGGTTCGATTCCCAGTCAAGGGTGCATACCTCGGTTGCAGGCTCAATCCCTGACCCTCTCCCCCATCCTCCAACCCTACCCTCTCACCCTCCCTCCTCCCTTTCTTCCACTCTCTCTAATAATCAGTAGGAAAATATCCTCGGGTGGGGATTTTTAAAAAGACTGACACTTTAGTGACAAGTCCGAGCTTATCCAGGTACTGGTGAAAAGTGAGTGCCCCTTGGAGCCCTGGCTGACAGGGCTGACAGGAGACGCCTAGGTGACTCCAGAGGGAAGCTTCTGAAGCGTGTTAGTTTCTGGGCTAGCCACGCCTCTCCAGGTGGCATGTGGGTGGGACGTAGAGAGCCTGAGCCAGGTGAGAACGCTCGGCTGCAAACTTGACCCCAGTCAGTGGCGGAATCTTGGGGTCTGGTCAGATCCCTGACCATAAGGACAAACAGCCCCGAGAAAAGGAAGTAGGCCCTTGATCAATAAACCCTGGGTTCCGACCTCAGCAGTGTGGAAAGCTGACTGGACTTGACCCCTAAAAGTCCCCAGAGGACAAGGTATTCTGTTCCACTGTCATCCCTAGTGGCCGGCAAGGGCCTCTAGCCCAGACACTCCTGGGGGTGCGAACCCTGATGCTTTCACAAGGACCATGCGCTTCAGCCACATGGCCAGAGGCGAGAGACCACCTTCTGGGGTCGCCAGTGCCCGTGGGGCCGTGCATCCTGGACCTGCCTGGAGGGACAACCACCCCCAGTCCCACCGCCCAGAGGGGCTGGCGCCCACGGTCATTCCTCCTGCTGTCACCGACAGGAGGCCTCCAGAAGGGACAGCACTCACCCTGGTCTCAGTCTATTGACAGAAGCAGCAGCAGGGAAGGGAAACCCAGGGCTGGGGAAAAGGCACTTAGAGGGTCTAATCTCAAGCTCCCACAATGCCGGTCTCTCACTGTTCCTCATGTATCCTGAGTGCTGACATTTTACAGACAGTTTCCAAAACAGGGCCCTGCCATTTCGGGATTATATTTTAGCTGCAACTTTTAAGTCTAATTATTGGCGCTGACAACCCCTATAATGGGGCGGGGCGGCACCGGGAGATGCGGGCTTTCAGGGGAGTGACAGCCTAATAGCAGGGGGAGGCCGCCCCGCAATCGGCGTTCACTCGAGGAAATTTCTCTGATGAAAATAACACAACATTAAGGAGGGGATAAGGGGGCAGGATCCACTGTATCAGGATAAAATAACTCTTTAATAAATAACCTTGTGGCTGCCGCAGAGCAGTAATTAAATGCCGGCGCGCAGTTTTAAGTAAAGCTGGGGGGAAAAACGTAAGATGTAATTATCAGCGCCAAACAAATTACCAGCCCAGCAGATCCCCCTGGAATATTTAGAAACTCCTTTCTGCCTTCCTGTTCAATATTTGTGTCCGTGCTTTTTTTTTTTTTTTTTTTTTGGGGGGGGGGGACCCCCAAGAGGGAGGAGGGGAAGGGACCAGGGGCCAAGAGGGTGGGGGCGGGGGAAAGGGCATCGAGGGAGAGGCAGCTGCAGGCTGCGCTGTCTGCTGATGGCTGTTTTCTGACTGCACGGCAAGATCGCCGGGTCAGCGAAATGGTGTAACCCAAATGCCCCAGAGCTCAGGAGTGCCTGTGGAGGGATGCTCGGGGCTGACATCTGAGCTGAGGCTGCAGCCCTCCTCTCAGCCGGCTCCCTCTCCCTCATGGAGGAAACTCAAGCCACAGGGATGATTCAAGGGGACCAGGCTGGCCCGGCTCAGCGCCTTGGGCCTCCTCTACCACTCAGTCCACGGGACACAGAGAGAACCGCTAGCCCCTGTGGGTGGGCAGGGAACAGCCCACGTGAGTGCTCTGGGAAGAAGGGCTGGTGCGGAGTCTCCAGGAAGCCCCTTTCCAACCTGTGGTTGGGACGGGGCCTCAAAGTTGCAGCTGATCGATTGTTCAAGGTGTGACACAACATGGGGCTGAGGAAACGGGAGCTGCCTGGCAGACTCGGGCAGAGAGAGAGGGGCGTGGGGCAGGTGGAAAGCTTTTCGTTTGGATCTGGCCGAAGAGGAAAGAGACAAGAGTGTAGGAGACATCCTCGGGGAGCCGTGATACCACCTTCCATCCGAGGCCTCGGGCACTAGGCTCGGTAGGCACAGCAGGGCTGCTCTCTACTGAGCCTTGCTGGGGCGGGACAAGGCACACGCTGCAGGACTTCTGTCCTGGGCTGCATGACCTTGTGGGAGTGAGCTCCCTCCAGACAAGCCTTTTCCCTTTGTCTTCCCCGTGGTTTCGGCTGAGCTCAGGCACACGCGCAGTTAAGGGACGGATAGGCCCACAGGTACACGTAACACACCTCTCGGCTCCTAACTCCCACCGCCACCCCTGCATTCCACCTGGAACAGACAGCTGGCCTAGCCCGGGCACAGAGGTGAAGTGCAGCTTCCTGCCATGCACCAGACTCGCCCGACCCTGCAGGGTAGCCCGACTAAGGGAACATGCAGACACAAGGTGTATCCGGGACCCAAGCAGCAGGAGCATGCGGGGCAGGGGGACCTGCCCACCCACCCCTGGGCCTGCCCGCCCGTCGGCCCAGACAACAGACAGCAGAGCCCGACGGGCGGGCGGGCGGGCGGGCAGGCCAGGCTGGCGCGAGCCCGAGGGAGCTGGCCGTGCCCGCTGGTCCCTATGGACAGGAGCATCCCATCGACGGGAGGACTGTAGATGGGTAAGAAGTGAAAAGGACCAACCTTCTCGCTGATCTGAGAGATGAGAGTTTGGGTTGATGGCAGAGTGCGATGAGGATGAGGAGGGAATAAAAAAAAAAGACAAGGAGAAACACAGAGAGAGTAAAAACAGGCCAACCTCCATCTGCCCACACAGCACGGAAACGAGACAAGACTCCGGTGCCCCACGCACACGCACGTGCACACAGGTGCGCGCGGACCACGCCGCTCACAGAAGACTCAGGACTCATGGAGGACACAGTGGACGGGGCCGAGTCCCCTGGCAGAGGGGCTGGGACGTCAAGGGTGGGACCGGGAGGTGTGGCAGTGGGGCACAGGCAGGCCCCCCCCATGCTTCACGCGCACCCCCCATGGCTCGGACAGACCCAGAGAGCTGGGCTCCGGAGTCAGGGCCCCCCCAGCCCACAGACCCAGGAAGCCCACGAGCCACCAGAATCCTGCCACCTCGAGGAAGCCCCACGCTGCTGCACGGCCTGGGCACCTGCGGGGAGAAAGGCTGTGAAGACATCGCCCTGTTCAGAGACAGTTAGTTGTGACCTAGTGGCCAGCTCCCTGCAGAGAAGGGGAAAGTCAAGGGCAGGCAGGTAGGGCAGGCTCTGCAGAGGGCATGGCCTTGCCCTGGCTCTTGGCAGCTAGCTGTACAGTCCGGAGAGCTGGAGGAGAGAGATGCTGTGGATGGAAGGAGAGAGTGAGTCACTCCGGGGGAAGTCAGATGGTGAGGGCGAGAGGCTGGCCCACCAGGCGTGCCTGGGCCCGCGAGACGGTGGGCGTAGCCGCGGGCAACGATGAGCAAAGCCGGAGTAACTGGGTGATGCATCCTCCCCCCCACTCCCACCGGTGCTTATCCTGACAGCAGCGGCGGCTACTGACTGCCAAGCATTTCCTGCACGCCTGGCGGCATGCCGGGAACGTCACACTCGCTGTCCCATTAGATGCAGCGACTGCGGGGCCTCCGAGAGGCCGGAGCCCAGAGAGTCTGGGGGACAAGAGGCAGGATGTGAGGTAGACACTGACGCCAAACCGGTGGAGGAGACATGACCTAAGCGGACAAGAGATGGATGGGGAGGACTGCCCACGGGAGGCCGTCCAGGCAGCGCAGGTCTCCCCTGCAGGGGTTCCCCCAGGCAGCCCTGGGCTCGGTGTGGAGACATTCTGAAGCGTCAGGACGAGGGGGTGGGACTGGCATCTAGTGTAAGGTGACCAGACGTCCCGATTTTTAACAATTTGTCCTGCATCCCGTGGTGTTTTAAAAATCGGGACCGTCCCGTCTGGCCACCTTAATCTAGTGGGCCTGAGATGCTGCTACATACATGACTACCATGCACAGGACAGCCCCACGCAACTGAGTTACCCAGCCCGAAACATCAACAGTGCCCAAGCTAGAGTCACACTGATCTTAGCTGCTGAGAGCTGATGCCCCAGGCCTGGAGGGTAACAGGCAGCCACGCTGCTGGGGGGCGGGGGCGAGTGGATGCCGACTAGCAGGCAGGCCAGCACTGGGGCTCAGGACACAGAGCTGGTGGCCAGCACGAGGGGAGCTGCCCTAGAGGAGCTGGGGCGGAAAGCAGGGGCTGTGCCAGGACTGAGAGGAGGGTGGGAGAGAGACCAGAGGAAGGACCCGAGGAGCAGGGCTGCCCGGGTGCCTACAATCTGGAAGGGAGGGCCTGTCCAGGGCTGCAGAGCAGGCCGCTCCTAGCAAAGCAGGTTCAGGTGGGGACTGGGGACAGACACGTAGGACTGGCCCTGAGATACCAGAGCCCACGGGAATGTGTGTGCGACAGGGAGAGGCAGAGACAACCAAAGCCAGGATGAAACAGCCTGTATTAGGGTCCCACGCCAAGTGAGGCTAGAACAGAAGGACCCCACAGGCCCTGGCCAAAGGCTTGGGGCAATGGGCCAAGGCGGCAATTCCAAAAACCCTGGTGAGGGTAGGGGCAGGAGGTGGGCCATGGCCAGAGCCAGTCAAGGACCTGCCTGAGTCCACCATGTATGGGCACGGGGGCCCTGCAGACAGGGAGGCTCCAAGGGGCTGAGGGTCAGAGCTCCTGGTCAGTGCTCAAGCTGCTGGCTGTGGCAGTCAAGCTCAGGTCGTCTCCAAAGAGACCCACTGCCCGTTCTCAGGGCCAAGGCCAGTGTGTGGTGACTTCAGAGAAAGCTTCCTCTCCCCACCCCCGATGACCATGCATGGTCCATCCACCGTGGGTCTGGGCCTCCTCCTGCCTGTGTACAGCCTCAGGCAGCTCCGCCCCAAGCAATGCTTGGTGGGGACCATCGGGCATGTGGAAAGGTCCAGGTGGAGGGACGGGACTTTGACAAGGAAGGCTCTTTGCAGCTGCTCGTCTCTGAGAGGGGACTTGTCAGGCCCCTCATGCCTGTCAGAAGCTCTGTCTGGAGCAGTGTAGGGTATGGTGACCAGATGTCCCGATTTTTAACAATCTGTCCCGCATCCCGCAGCGTTTTAAAAAAGTCCCGATTTTTTTTAAAATGCCGAGGGATGCGGGACAGATTGTTAAAAATCGGACTGTCTCGCCAAAAGCGGGATGTCTGGCCACCTTAGTGTAGGGGGAAGGCTGTGCACTTTACAACACTCCTCCTGGCCTTTGGGAGGCTTTGGTGCTCCCGGTCTCCCTGCTCGGATGCTGTCCCGTAAGGCAGGCCCTGGGATGGCTCAGGTGAGCCTGCAGGAGCCGCACACCTGACCAGGGGGCCAGTGCAGACCTCCCGTCCCATGCCAACTCTAATGAAGCCTAACACGCCCATCACCCAATGGGCTGGCGGCCTGCAGAACACCCTCCATAAGAGGGTGCTTCCTGGTCTCAGGCAGGTGGTCTTTGCTCTGCCTGACCACGTGGCCCCAAAGAGTGGGACCGCCATGGCCCCACCCGGTGCCTGGCCCTGGGAGGAGAGGCGGACAGCCCTCGTGAAGCGGCACCGAGCACTTAGTGCACTGAAGTCGTCACCGAGAGGAAGCCTCACCCACTTTTCTTTACCAGTCCCCGAGGGAGCTGGCTTCGCTTTTACTGCCCATCTGTGCAGGAGGGCTCCATGGGAGGGACGAGGGCTCCCAGGGCCCCTCCTGGGCATAAATGCACACCAGGCTCAGCATGTCCATAGGAAGCAGCAGGTGGCCAGCTTAGTTGCCCTAGGCTGTGAGCACAGCAGAGACTGGACACTGCAAAACAGTCCGCAAGCCCCCGCCACTGGTCTCGTGAAAACGCACGAGCTACCCAGTCCCAGCCAGGACCACCTGGAACACGGTAGGTGATCACCTACAGGGCTGCCTCCGCCTGACCCCCCACAAAAGGGTCGAGGACAGCTGGCTTCCCCTCCAGGAAGACCTGGCCAGAGGGTAGGCACACCTGGCCTGGCGCTCCCCCTGCACGGGGGAAAGGGAGAAGGGCAGATTCTAGGAAGACTAGGCAGGTGTGCATGTTACACACACACACACACACACACACACACACACACACACGTCTGCTCGGAAGGCTCTGGACTCCCATGGGGCTCTGGGCCCACGTGGCAGGACCTAAAAGAGATACAAATGCTCCCCAGAGTGGCTGCTTCCCCGTGGGCCTGCAGGGAAGAGAGGCAGGGCAGTGCTGGGCACTGTGAGCTTGCTCAGTGGGAGCTGCTGCCGCCGCTGCTATGACAGCTGCAGAAAGCGGCGGGAAGGAGGAGACGGGGCTCATGGCAGCCCCCATGTGTCCACAGCCAGCAGGGGCAGCTCCGCTCCTGGGAGACAGGGCCCGCCCTGCAGCGCCCGAGTCCTTACCTCGCACATACAGGTTGGCGGGGGCCGAGTAGCGTGTGCCTGCGGAGTTGGTCGCCACACACTCGTACTTGCCTTGGTCCGACTCCTCGCTGCTCTCGATCTGCAAGGCACCTGTGGGGACATAGAGACAAAGGTCAGGCCTGGAACAGGGGGCGGGGTCTTGACAGCATTTGTGGCTTGTACTGATGATCAGATGTTGCAGACATCGGGGGCCACACCCCGAAGCCAGTGCTGCTTCCAGGAAGCTCTCCCTGACTAGCCCAAGGGTTGTAGTCTGAAGCACAACGCTGCCCCACCCCACTGGCTCTGCCAGGGGCTCTCCTGCCAGCCACTGAGTGTCCACTGCCCTCCGGCCAGTACTGGAGCCTGTCTGCCAGGGAGCACCCCCATTAACGCAGAGCCAGGCGTGGGAGGGAACAGCCTGCAGAACCGCCGGCCTAGGATGTGCAAACGTGCAATGCCCTCACTGGGCAAGAGCCTGGGAACCTGCCACCCACCAGAATCCCACGGCAAGGAAGGGGCTTGCCCTGGGGGCCTGGTTCCAGCTGCCTCTGCTCACAGCACCCATCCTCCCCTCCCACCCCACGCCCTCCCGCGGGCCCCACCCATTCCAGCTCCTCTCCTCAGCCTGGTCCCACTAAAGTGCTTCGACCCACCACGGCTCCTGCATAATTCAGGAGGCTAATGGAGGCTGCAGCTCCCACCCCGGCCGGCGCCCTGAGGGGCTGCTCTGGCCGCAGACGGACAGACAGGAGCCAGAATGGGGGGTGGGGGTAGGGATGGGGGGGAGAGACAATTGAAAAGGACTCTCACAGAGGGTGGAGGAAACTTGGGCTTGGGGCCCATCCTGGTAGGTCCAGGTGGGGGAGCCCAACGCCAGGGTGGTGGTGGGAGAGGAAACACATGACTCAGCCACGCCCCCGGTCCTGGCCATAAACACTTGAAAAAACTGCCTGAGAGAGCACACTGGGCAGACCGTCTGGTCGTAACTCCCCGAGGCACAGGTAACACCGCTTCCCTGGGACAAGCCGACAGACAATCACACCCACAGAGGACAGTCCGATGGACAGTGAAGAACCAACCCCACAGGACACAGCCTGACAGAGAACCACCGCCTGCACACAACAGCCAGAGTGCCCCTAACAGCCTGCCCCTCCCAGGGCCCCGGGCCGGCTGACGGTTATACCCACAGAGGACACAGACAGAACTTTGGACCCCAACTGACTGGTCTGGACAGGAGCCATAGCAAGAGGTCCAAGCCACGCTCTCAAGGTCCAGGCCCCAGGGGACGGCCACCTCAGCCCAAGCTGCAGCCCCTTGACTGCCCGACATCCCTCTCCCACAACCCAGGCCCAGGGCAGCAGGAGCTGAATACTCAGGGGCTTGGGAGCTGGGGATGGAGAAGGGGCTTCCCAGGCTCAGTCCTGAGGCAGGCAACGAGCTGGCCTGCCCTGCGGTCCTGGCTTCAGTGGGCATCAGGGAGTGTGAGGGCCCAGGGTACGTGCCAAATACCCTCCTTCTGCGAGAGCAGCCCCATGGGCACCTGATAGGTCACGTTCATGGGATGGATGGACACTGTTACAGAAGACATTCATTCCAACAGGTGGGGTTGGCCGGGGGAATGCACTAAGTCCAGCTCAGCTGGGGTGGGAGGGGTGCTGGACAGGAACAGGAAGCAGGGCCTGGGTGAGCGCCGCCCTGCTGGGAGAGGAAGGAGGCTCCCCTGCGCTGAGAACCAGGACTGGTCAGGGGACCCAACACAGACCCTGAGCCTATTTGTATACAGAATCTCCCCCCCCCCCCCCATCTGGAACCAACCTCCACGGGGGGGCAGCTGCTCTTCCCAGCCCCAGCTTCTGCCCTGAGACCACCCTGGCCCTGGACTCCGAGGGCCTGGATGTGCCCGAGGACACTTGTGAGATGGGAAGAAAAGGATGTGAGTAAATACAGTATAGAAGCAACCACTTTGCAAGTGTTCGCTCTGCGCCAGATGCTGTCCAAAACCCTTATCCTCTCCTCCAATCCTCACCGTCCCGTGAGGCGGGGCCTTGGCTCCCGTCTAAAGAGGAGGACACGGGCTTCTGAGAGGGAACCCGATTTCCCGAAGGTGACGTAGGTGGGGAGTCACACTTGAGCCCGAATCTTTTAGTCCAGAGTCTGGGCTTTGAACCCTTGGGCGGTGGGGCTCCTGGAGGAGAACAGCCCGGGGTTAACAGGTCAGGGGGCGTAGTCACACCGGACCTGTGCTTCTCAGCTGCCATCCCTCCTCCTACACTGACGTCTTCACTACCCGCTCCTCCTCGTGTTTGCCGGGCTGAGGTTCTTACAGGATGGCCCTCAGTTCACCACGGGGCCAGGATGCTAAAGGGAGCTAATAACGGAGGGACCCAAGACAAAGGAGGTTCCTGGGAGGACAGGAATGGCCCCGTCCTGCTCCCCCACCTCCTAGGAAGGCTCTCCTCCCTCCCTCTGGGCCAGCCTGGAGGACCAGGGCGTGGCTTCCCTGCAGGGGCCCTCCTGTGGGGTTGGCCTGAGAGGAGGCCTGGCCGTGGGGCTTGCCGTCCCCAAGGTGGGGCTCAGCAGTCTTCACAACCCAGACTTGCAATGGATGAGTCCACAGGAGGGAATGACCGCGTGTGGATGTGTGTGGTGGCCGGTGGCGCTGAGGGGCCAGAGCTGGAGATGAGGCTGGAGAGGTCAGGATGGGGATGGGGGAGGTGACGGACTGGACGGGATGGAGTGGTGGTGACGGCAGTGGCGAGGCGTGGCGTGGCGTGGCGAGATGCACGGACAGCATTCTTACCTCTAATTGGTGAACCACCTGGCGAGGTAATTTGAATGCAAATAAGATCAGAGAGAAGCATTAGTACAAAAGGAAGGAAAGCCACCAAAAAAAAAAAAAAAAAGCCAAATCAGATAAAATAAAACGCGAGAGAGGGCCTCATACGCGCGGAGGAACCGAGGCCTGAGTCAGGCTGACGCAGGTAATGTGTGCACAAGCACCGGAGCTGAGTGTGGGTGAAGCTGTGTCCCCCGGGTCACTGGCACTGCTCTGAGGTGTGGGGGAGTGGAGTGGGGGGTCGGCAGGGCTGGGGGTGATGGGACTCATCAAGACGGTGAGTCGGGGTTCCTGTAGACTCCACTGGCCAAGGCCGACGGAGTGGGGAGGTGAGGAAAAGATGTAGCAACTCCCTGCCCCCCCCTCCCCACCACCGCAGGGCGACCCAAACCCACAGGTGGGGCACATCTCTAAACGAAGCACTTACCAAAACCCACCCGGGCATTTAAGCAGAGGGAAGGGCAAAAAGGAGGGCTCCCCATAAATGATCCCCTGGTCTCCCTGAACACACACACCAGCTCACCTGGTCGCTAGTCCCGGCTGAGCTTACGACCCGGTGGCAGATGCTGTAAAGTTAAGGTGACCAGACGTCCTGATTTTTAACAATTTGTCCCGCGTCCCTCGGCGTTTTAAAAAAGTCCCGATTAAAATGCCAAGGGATGCGGGACAAATTGCTAAAAATCGGGACTGTCCCGCCAAAAGCGGGACGCCTGGTCACCTTATGTAAAGCCCACTCAACCCTCTACAAACTCAACCCTCTACAAATGAGTGACGGCTGAGCTTCGTCCCAGCCTGACCGGCGAGAGCCAGAGACCAGTGCCTGCCCTGTGTCTGTTCAGTGCTTTGTAATCCTGGGGAGCCGTAGGTGAGGGGGCCAAGCGCTCACCCTCCAAATGCCCAATGCAGGGCCAGGGTGAGGTCCGAGCAGGGTCTCTGCCCCACGGGGCCTCCTCTGAGGCTGGGCGCAGGACCCTTCTCCCCCATCCAGAAAAGCAAGGAGCCCAGGAGGCGGGGGGCAGGCCCAGGCCCACACGGCCTCTCCTGCTCCTCTCTGCTCCCCTCTGGGGGAGGGAAGTATGCCAAGAGACAAAACTACCCCACGGGCCCAATGACACACACCCAGGAGGAGCTATCATCCATCACCCGCCCGGGGGATTACCCATCTCCACGGAGGAGTGAGTAAACCAAGCGACCTGCCCAAAGCTCAAGGTCACATAGCTTCTGGGTGAAGTGGCAGGAATGGACCCCGTGTGTCTGGCTCAGGGCCCTCCTACAAACACAGGGGCTGGAGGGAGGGCAAAGGCAGCGTTGGGGGCCTGGAGTGTGTGTGTGCGTGCGTGTGTGTGCGTGTGTGAGGGGTGCAGAGATTGTCTAGAAAGAGCCATCATCACAATGACCCTCCAAACTTGGGACCTGCAGTGTCCCCCAAACCCTGTCAGAGGGTCCACAAGATCAAAATAATTTTCATAGTACTGAGAGGTTATTTGCCTTTTTCACTCTTGTTTTCTCATAAGTGGAGTTTTCCAGAGGCTCGATGTGCGATATCGCAACCGGCCGAACGCGGAAGCAGGCGTGAGAATCCAGCCGTCCTCTAGTAAGCCCCAAATTAAAGGAGACCTGTGAGTGTGCGACCGTGCTGCTCTCTTCTCACTGAACGTCTTGAGAAAATACGAGTATTTTTCATTAAGTTTATATTACTTATCTCAACACGTCATGGGGTTGTAAGTTAGTCGAAAGTCCATGAACAAATATTTAAATCTCCTCCGCCTTATTGTCTAGGATGGCCAATACCGATAGATAAAACCCGCACGAACAAAAGATATCTGCAATCAGCCGTCCCGAGGTCAGAATGCTGGCCACCGCGGACCTACCCCTGCAGGCCCGCCTGACCCGGGAGGGGTGGCTTGTCCACGGTCCGGTCTGGGACCCCTAGCTCCTGGCCTCTGCTCTTCTAAAACCCAACGTGCACCCTGGTCGGGTGGCTCAGATGGTTGGAGCATCATCCCGCGCACCACCGGGTTGTGGATTTGATTCCCGGTCAGGGCATGTACCCAGGTTGCAGGTTCGATCCTTAGCCGGGGTGTATGAGGGAGGCAAACTGAGCGATGTTCCTCTCTCACATGGATGGTTCCCCTTCTCCCTTAAAAAAAAAAAAAATATTTTATTGATTTTTTTTTACAGAGAGAAAGAGAGAAGGATAGAGAGTTAGAAACATCGATGAGAGAGAATCATCCATCAGCTGCCTCTTGCACACCCCCTACTGGGGATGTGCCCGCAACCAAGGTACATGCCCTTGACTGGAATCGAACCCGGGGCCTTTCAGTCCGCAGGCCGATGCTCTATCCACTGAGCCAAACCAGTTTCGGCCACTTCTCCCTTTCTTTCCCTAAAATCAATTTCAAAGATTAAGAAAGGAATTAAAACCTAACCTGCAGTGTGACCAGTCTCTGGACATCTCAGAATAGCTGCTTTCCTATTAAAACGGAAACAAGAGTTTGCCTTTCCTGTGTCACAAGGTGGCTGTGGGAGACCAGAGGGGACCTGGAAGTGAGCACTGCCCGTGAGCTGCCGGTGTGCTCAGGCCAAAGGGGAACTGTGACCACGAGCCTACAGTATGTCCTCCTTGGAGGATGGATGGCAGGGCAGAATGCGGGGCCAGGCTGGGGCTGGCCAGCAGACGGGGTGAGGGGGGCTCACACCCATTCCAATCAGGTCTGTGGGCTTCCTCCAGCAGCCATACCCTGGCATCTCAGGCTCGGCTCAGGTGCCGGGGGAGTGTGGAAGGAGACTGCTCTCTGAGTGAGCGGGCGGGCATGTATGTTACGTTGTCCTCGGTGCCTAAGCCATGACGGGATGACAGCTCACACACTCAGGCCACCGGGATGAGGGGAGCACGGGATGCCCCGTGGGGCTCCGTCCAGGCTCAGCGAGTGGCCAACAGCTCCCCCCAGAGCCCCATGCAGGAGGTGAGTCCCCACGCATGGCCCCAGGGACACTGCCTGCTCCTGACTCGATTTCCATCCTCTCCGAGCCTGTCCCAAACCTCCTGGTCCCACACGGGCTCTCAAGTTCAAATTCTCCAAGACACTCATGTTGTAGCAGGTCACAGCCCTTCTGTGAGGAACCTGCCTGCGGAGCAGAGCTCACACCTGCACATATGCCCCCCGCAGCCCTCCTACCCAGCGCTGCTCGAGGGCCGAACCCTGGTGACACGTACTGTGGCTTGGCCCAAAGACGCCTGAGGAGTGCTGGGCACTGGCTAGGAGGGGCCTGAGGCCTGGACACAACGGGATTGGGTGTTTTGCAGCCCTAGCAGGGCCCAGCCACTCCCCAGGCCCCACCTATGTGATGCTAGAAGGCTCCTGGGGGACCTCACACAGGGAGTTCCCTGGCCCTGCTCTTCCACAGATGACCCCAGGTGACCTCCTTAACTCAGCCACGAAGGGGGCACGGTAATCACAGCCTGCCCCACTTCTCAGGGCTGCTGGAGAATCCAGTGCAACCAAAGGCAGGAAGGCGCTTTGTAAACCGTCGGTGATGCGTAAACCATGAAAGTCCCTGTCAACAGCCCAGTGCTCAGGGCCTGATTCCGTTCTAAGAAGGGATGTCTCTGTCAGTGTGCACATTCCGAAGTGACCAGAGGAGAGGGGCAGCTGATCCTGGGATCAGGGATCGGGGGCCAGGACCAGGCAGTGATGGAGAGAGTCCTGTCCGTTACCTCTACCAGAGGTGAGATGGCTCAGTCCCCTCAGGTGCCACCTGATTCTATCCTAGCAGCTGGATTGTGGGCCTGCACACCTCAGGTCACAGCTGCCAGGGGCAGAAAGGTCTAACAGAGAGGTCTTTCCTGGACTCAGGAAGCAGAAGGAGTAGCCGTCAGTCCGTAGGGACCAGGTTGAAGGTCACGTTCGTGAAATAATTCATCAACAAGGGCTCAGAGATACCTGTCCCGTAGCCCATCCGAGGCTTGTGGGGGGCATTGGGGAGCTTCGTAGAGGGGAGCCAGCCCCAGGCCCGCCCTGTGACGTGGGCAGAGCTGGAGCCAGGTGGTAAAAACACAAAGTGGGATGAGCACTAAAGGAGGTTTGGGGCGGAGAAGAGTGGGGCGTCACCATCGGGGGACTGTGAGCCGAGGGCCAGGATGGGGTCAGGGAGGCTCGGGGCAAGTGGCCCAAGCCCCGTCCCCAGGGCCCTCCCCATCAGCTACACCAGGCAGGGAAGTAAAGCTCTGACCGCGACGGTCTCACTCAGTGCTCCCCGAAACCTCCTTTTAAAGAGGAAAACACTGAAACGCAAAGAAGTTAAGTGACTGAGGCCACCGAGCTGGTGAGGGATGCGGCCGGGACCCAGTGAAGTAAAGCAGGAGATGTGAGCAGGGGGGAGACAGAGCAGGTGTGCCCTGTTCGTGTGGGCACGGGGGTGTCCGAGGGCAGAGGGACAGGAGCAGGGCACCCTGCCAGCTGCTGGAGGATGGATCCGAGGGGGGAGCCTGGAGGCAGGGAGAGCTGGGGACCCGGGCGATGACCACGGCAGCAAGAGGCGGAAAGGGCACCAACTGGAGAGTCACGACGGTGTCGAATCAAGAGGCCTTGGTGGTTCTCTATTGGAGGAGCCAGGGTTTGGGGCTGGGAGGCTGCCGCGCGCTGTCCGGGAAGGCCTCCACTCATCACACTCAGGGAGGCAGACCCATTTTTTGGTCTAGAGCCCAGGGGAGATGTCTGGGCTGCAGAGACAGATAGGGGAGCTGCGGGAGGGGACACGGTACCAGAAGCTACAGGAAGAGGGGAGCGGGCCCAGGGAGCAGCTCTGTCCACGGGGCCAGGGGAGGGCTCCCAGGCCTCCCCCTCAGAGGCACACGCAGAGGAAGAGGGGCCTGCAGGGCAGACAGAGAAGCAAGAGGAAACCCAGCGAGGCCTGGGAGGGAGCGGTGGGGAAGGAGGGAGTGCGTGAGCTGCTGCTGAGAGGACGAGGAGGCCTGGGCAGCACTGGGTGGAGCACTGGGCGGCAGCCAACGCGCAGGGCAGTGAATGGGTGGCACGGGGCCCGGCACACAGCACGCACTGCATAAATACGCGTGAGACGGCGTGCCTTCCCAGAACCGCTGCCACAGACAGGCAAGGCCACCGGGGTGGAGGCCAGACCAGCGGGGAGGGCCACCTGGTTGCCTGGGGAGCCCGCCTGGGGGGCTGGGGAGCCCCGCGAAGGAGCCGAACTGTGCCGGCCGCTGGGCAGCGCTGGGCAGCGATGACGACGAACACTGCCGGACTGTTTCCTGCCTTGATTATGGCTGTTTTAATTAACTGCTCTACAGCTGCCTCCATCTTGTTGAGTTTTAATTAAATTAAATGAGCGAGCACTTCATAGGCTGTCTCCGGCGGCCGCGGCTGGGGCCGGAATCCTGCCCCTGCAGGGCGCACACCAGCTCTCCCTCCTCCCCGGGCACCACGGGGAGTGGCAGGAGAGAGAGCCTCGGGAGCGGCAGGTCTGGAAGGAGCAGAGTCACGCCCTCCCTTGCGGCGCTGGCGTCACAGGGCGGGGTGGCAGGGGCGCCGGCCGGCACCGGCCATCCTGCCCGAGCCCCCATCCCGCAGCGACCAGGAGGACTTTGGACCGAGGCCTACCGGCCCAGCCGTGCCGGCGGCAGATGCCGAATGCATCTAAGTAGAACCTGGGCCTCCTTCCCCGCCTGCTCTGTGCCACAAAAAACGGAATCAATTATCTTGGCGGGAGCCTCGCAGGCAGATCGATCAACGGGGCGGCACCTCCCGCCTGGTCAAGATGGTATCCTGGCTCCCAGGGCTGCAAGGGCTCCACGGAGACAGCCCGAGGAGACAGGTGGCCCTGGTGGCCGAGGGATGGCAGCAAGTCTCCCTGGCTCCAAGCTCTGAGGCCCAGCCTTTGGAAGCCTGATGAATCGGGCATCTTTGGCGGCTTTCCCTGCCGCCTGGAGGAGCAAAGGGAAGCACAATCCAGGCCCCCTCTAGGGCCAGGCTGCAGGGAAGCTGGAGGAGGAACACCCTCAGTCCCGATGCAGAGCCCAACGCCAGGCTGAGCAGGACCTTTGTCCTGTGAGGAGCAGAGCTGGCCCGAAGTCTGAGTCTGACAACAGCAGGATGGACGGTACTAGGATCACCCGCCAAGCTCTCGTCCTGGGCCAGGTGGGCTTGGAGCCCTCTGCTCAGCCCCGGAGGCTCAGCCCCAGGCTGAGGTCTCCTGAGGCTCTTGGCACCCAGGCCCACGAGGGGAGGCCGTGTGGGTTCGGGCCCCACACCTCTCCTCACGCCTGTGCAGCCCTCTGCTCACCTGAACGCAGCTGCTTGATGCGGCCGTTGCTTGTGGTGGGATCCACGGGGAGGAAGTCCTTGAACCAGGAGATCTCAGGGTCTGGGTTCCCGCCGGCCGCGCACAGCATGGTGGCCGTGCGCGCCTTCTCCACCACCTTCAGCTGGGGCCCCATGTCGATGGAGGGGAAGCCGGCGGGCAGCTGGTCCTCTGCAGGCAAAGAGCAGAGGTGCGTGTTAGGGCTGGGACCCCGCTCTGCGGGCGGCTTCTCCTGACGCCTGGGGTGGCCGGGATCCTTACGGGTCTTCGCTCCCCGACCCCCGACTTCCAAGCTGAATCCCGAGTCCCACTGTCCAGGCCTGGGGGCTGCGGGAGGGCCCAGCCTGCCCTGTCAGGAAGTTGGTTTCCAGGTCTGAGAAGCGACGCCTCAGACTGAGGACGTCAGCACTTCTCTGTCTGGGCCCTGAGGGGAATGAGGATCGATGCTCTCCCGGCCACAGCAGGAAGTGCTGCCTGGGTGCGGGGTGTATGGGGCTCACAGCGGACTGGGTGGCACCCACAGCCACATTCACCCCGGAGGCTCCCTGTGCTGTCCAGCACCGCCCCCCCCTGCCCCCGCCGTGTCCGCTCCCGCCATTGCCAGCATCCAGCCTTCAGCTCCACCCCACGGCGGCGCCACACGGCACAGCCTTGGTTCTGGCCCTGGCTCTCCACACCGCTTGCGCGACCCATGAGCCACCCTTGACCCTTGATCCTGACTCTGACCCATTCTCTACGACAGCCTGGACCCTGACCCAGCGGCCAGGGGTATCATCCCAAAGGGACTGTGGCCCATCAGGAGATGGGGCCTGGGGGTGGGGAGCAGCAGGACTTCCAGCACGCGCGCCCCCTCCCCCCGCCCCCGCTCTCCGCTTCCCCACCTGCAGCCCTCTAAGTTCCAGGCATGACCCAAGCTACTCTTTGGCTGCAAACATGATCCCGGAGTCCTAACGTTCAGCTGATTTTTAAAAGGAACATGTCAAACAGCGGCAAGGAAAGAGAGGATGGGAACGAGGCGGGTCTTGGGGTGCACCAGGCAGGGGAGCAGCTTCCTTTAGCTCTGCTACAGCTTGCTCTCAGCTAGGCCCAGGCAGGGCCCGAGGCCTGGGGTTCCCTTCCCACCCTCCCCGTTCTCCCCAGCAGCTGGGGGCACACAGGACTGCCAGGGCCATCCTAGCCCGCCAGGGCCCCCGTCTGGTTCCTCCCAGGCCTCAATCCTCCCTGCGAACTGTCCTGAGCAATGGGGAAGAGGAGGGGCAGCAGGGACGGGCCTGCCAGACCGAGGGTCCAGGAGTCAGCGGGCCCCCACTCTACCAGGAAGGTACGGACCAAGGAGAAGGGAAGAAGAAGTGCAAACATCTGCAGCCCGTGCCCCAGGAAATCTACTCTGAATTCCTGACACAGGGAAGGTCTTTGGGATTTACGCCAAATGAAGGACAATTAATTTTCCTCCCTCAATTATCGCGCCCTCAATGGCTCCATCCTTGGCTCAGATCACCCTCCCTCAGGCACTGCTGCCGGAGCCCAAAACTGGCACGTGCACAGAGCTGTCCGTAACACAGAGGGCCCCACAGCCCCTCCCCGGTGCCAGGGGGCTTCCGCTCTGCACCTCGGGAAAGAGGAGTCTGTCTGGCAGGAGGCTTCCGGTCCCTTGGGAGTGACAACTGCTCTTTCTTCCTTCTTCGCTCCCCTGGGCCCCGCTGGCACATTCACACCGAGCCAAGGACAGCAGCAGCCGGCTCCTGATGCCACCGTGCGCCTGGACAAGCCAAGCACCGGGTAGGCCATCACAAACTGACCCAACCGCCTGGTTTATCTTCCCTCCGCCCCCCAGAGCCCCACAGGAACGGGGGCCGCGGTGAGGGGCAGGCAGGGGAACCGCGGAGGCTAAAGACCGGGCAAATGCCTCCTGCACATGCCACGCGGTCGCTCCAGAACCATCCACAAATGGGGAAACCGAGGCCCGGGTAGGAGGGAGAGTAGGCTGTGCTAATGGAGCATCTACGACCTCCTAGGCACTGCGTTAAAGTGCTTTGCAACATGATTTAATCTTCTCCCAAACCCTGAGGTGTATAAGCAAATGGGGGCTTAGAGAGAGATCTAGAAACCTGCCCAAGGTCACAGAGTTGGATGGGAGACGGGGTCGGGATGAGACAAGGTGGTGGGACCCGAGTGCCTGGCAGGGCCGGGTCAGGGCAGGGCTAGCGGAGGTGAGAGCACCCCTGGGGGCAACCCACCATCATCCTGGCTCACCTCTCCAAGGCTGGCCCAGCCCCTCCCAAGCCACGCCCGCTGCCATCCTCCGGGGCCCAGCCACTCCCCTGCAGCCCCCCTGCACACAAGACTCCGCGTGCTTATTTACTGCAAACCGAACACAGTGCCCACCCGTGGCTGCACCGGGCAGTGGCCAGCGACCCAGGTCCCAGCGCATCCAAATGTACCCTCTGCCGAGTCCCCCGTCTGCAAAACCGGTCCTGCCGAGCCCCTTCCCCTCCCCCTGCCAGGCCACCCGGTAACCATAGCAACGGCGGCAGGCGCTGCTGAGGAAGGGCTGCGCGCGCCCGAGTCCATGTGTGCGGTGCGCAGCCGCCACCCCTCCCTCCCTCCCTTCCTGGGTGGAGCCTCGGCGACCCCTCCCAGGACCCCCACTTCCCAGCTCGGCTGGAGGGGGTGGGGGACAAGGAATCCTCCCTCCTGGAAGTCCTTCCTGCTCAACCAAAACTAAGACAGCCAGCGCCACAGCAGGAGGAAAGGGGGAGGTCCCCCACATCTGCAGCCTCCACACCTGGGCATCTGCAGTCTGCCTGCCCCAGTGAGGCGGAGGCCCTCCATCCTCCGGTGAGGAATGGAGGAAAGACGCCCTTGGGGCCTCTGGAGGTACCAGGAGCCTCTCTCTGCAGCTGTGTGCGGATTCTAGCTGCAAGCACACACGCACATACAGGGTGCACGCACCTTGTCCCAGGGTCTGCCCCCCAGACCTCCGTCTATCTGTGGTGGGCGCACACATGTACGTGAATGGCTCCTGCTCCAACCTGAGACCTGACCCCTTTCCCGCTGTCCCCACGGGGGGAGAGGAAGATGGCGGGGTGTGTATGTGTGTGTTGGGGTTTGGGGGTGTAGGGAGCAGTGGTGGAGTAGATCAGCTAAGCTCCACGGCCCACCTGCCACCTTGGTGGCTTCCTGGAGGAGGAAGGAGATGCGAGAATAGGAAACCCTTGCGGAGGCAGGGAGAGCGTTCCTGGGGGCGGGAGGGAGGGGCTGCCTGGGTAAAGGCTGTGGGAGGGGGGAAAGGTGCATCTGGTTGACGCTAGGGGAAATGTGGGGGTCCTGGTGGATTAGACCAGGGAGCGGGTAGACAGGGGATCCACTTAGGCTGGTTGCAAGGCCTGGGAGAGGGAGGCTGCTGGGGCCCCCGACTGAGCACACACAGGCCTCTTTGTTGAGCTCTGCCTGAGAGGCCTGAGGGGGAATCGGGCCGGAGGAGGGGGCTGCACCGGGGAAGCTGACAGATGGAGGCGCCTCGCAGGGTCTCGGGGTGGGCAGCACCGTCTGTCAGCATGACCGCCTCATCCTCATTTACCCAGCTTCCTGGCATCTCTGTGCACATGCAGGCACACGCCAACACACACACACACACACACACACACACACACACACACACACACACAGGCTCTCTGGGGTGGCACTGTCCCTAAGCCTGACCCCCTCCCTGTGTGTGAGTGCTAGGCATGGCCTCCCCTAGTCTCTGAACATAAACATGCACAGCACAGATCTACCTGGTGAAAAAGAGAGGTGCAAACACAGAAACCTCAGTGTGTGTGTGTGTGTGTGTGCACACGCGCATGTGTGTGGAGGGGCAGTGACAAGCACCTGTGGAAACAGACTCATGTAAACACATGTGGAGACATGCAGTCAGAGATATACATGTATGAGACACGTGCACTTGAAGACACACACAGTACACAGACATGGACACTGAAAAGAGGTGCAGACACACAGAAAAGAACTCTGTGGGTAGCTGCCAGCTCCGGCAGCCCTCATGCGCTCAGGGAAACCGAGGCCACCTCTGGCCCTGTCCCCAGGCCAATACACCCCCCGGACAAGCAGGATCCCACACTCTCCCCAGTGCCCAGCCCCACCCCCAGGCTTCCAGGGAGCGAGGGGGGCCTGAGGAGACTTGGGCCCATCTCCCTTCGCAGCTTTCAGTCTTGATTTTCAGCTTTTTTCCGAGAGAAAACTCCCACCTCTTCCAGCACTCAGATTTCATCAAAGTTGGCATCTTAAAAGCCTGTTTTGTTTTTTAATCTGAGCTGTTTGGGGCCTGTCGGCAGCCGTGGCCTCCCCCTCCCAGTCCCCACTCTCAACCCAGGGCTTCCCTGGCACCTCACACAGCCCTGCTCCACCTGGCTAGCGAGGCCTCCCCAGGCACACACCCTACCCACTCTGCTTCCAGGCCCCGGCCCATGCTCCGCTCTCCTCTCCGAGCTCCCCACCCCCATCCCACTCCAGGAGATTCCTTTGATCCACTTACCCCCCTCCCTCGGGTTTGGGCCCCGTCACTCACGACCAGTGACAGCCTCCCACTCACTCCTCAGGCCCCTGGGGCCCAGCTGCCACCCTCCCTGCTTCCTGCCTGCGTGCTCCCCAAGGTCAGCCACGACTCCATGGAGATAAACCGAAAGGACACGTCACAGCACCCCGCCCTGCTGACCACTTCCTCCTCCTCCATGTCCTCTGTTCTCGTTTCCCTCCCACCTCGCAGGCCCCTCTTCCACAGGTTCCTTTGCCAGCTCCCTCCCGATAGGAAGAGCTAGCTTCTGGGGCTCCGTCCAGGCCCACTTCCTCCTCTCTTGGCTCTCGTGCCCTAAGATTTGCCACTTCTTGGTCATCAAAACTCCATCTCCAGATGTCCCTGGGACGGCCAGGCGAATCCAAACATGGCCTCCTTGATGCCTCCCTGGAGGCCTGTTGCTAAGGTTTCCAACAGGACTCATCCACCCGCCCCTGGAGAGCAGCACCCCCATCTCCCTGGCTGCAGAGGCAGTAACCCCGGGATTCAGCCTCCCCAATCCCACAGGGAGCCAGGCAGGCCAGCTCGCTTTCTTAGCTGCTTGTAACCCAGTGTCCCTTCCTCCGCTATCCACTGCTTGGGTCTGGCCCGCTGCCACCTC